GGATGAACTATAACTTAAGTATAGATAAAAAATGGAGATTGATCTTTATCACTGTTTTATGGCATCTGTGATCTCAAAGAAATCAGATGGGTTTTGAGCAAAAAGATATATCCTCTCACTCCCTTTTTACAAAGTTTCTTCTTGACTACCAATTTAATAAAACTATTTTACAGGATGCAAAAAAAAGGAGCAGGAACCAGCAAGGTGCAGTCAGCTAGCAAGGCTTGGGAAGCACCAAAAGCAGGATGTTATAAGATAAATACGGATGGTGCTTGATTGAACACTGCTGTTTCTGCTGGGGGAGGAGTTATTAGGAGGTCAGATGGCACTTGGTATGTTGGATTTTCATGCAAGTACACTGCTGTTTCACCCTTAGCTGTTGAACTCTATGCTCTTAATGATGGCCTATCCAATGCTGAGGACTTGAGGATCAAAAAAGTCGAGATTGAGACTGATGTTGAATCCCTTAGGACTATGTTGCTTACCACAGGTCCTAATCCTCACCATGAGTTAGCAGCAGCTGTGTGTGATGTGGCTGCAGTCCTACGCAAGTTTGAGGCGGCTATAATCACCCATGTTCCAAGGAGAAGAATGTTTTAGCACATAAGCTAGCTGTCTTTGGGAAGGATATGTCAGTGGGTTACAAAACCCATTACCTAGTTCCTGACTGTGTTCGTGCTAATTATAAAGCTGATTTGCAAGGTGTGGCTGCTGCTGCAGCAAGTAACTAGCTGTGCAAGGATATGCAGGGATGACAGTAGGTTTCTTTTGGGTATATATGGATGTTACGGGTGCAGTACTATGGTAGACTAATTATCGGATGTATTAATGCCTATTTCATAAGCTATATTTTGTGCAGCATCATTTTTCTTTGTACAAGTTATAGGATGCTTGATGTAATTATAAATAAGGCATTAGCCAATCAATATAAGTCTTTTATTTTGAGTTAAAAAAAAAGAAGGAAAATTCCACCCACTTTAACTAAAATACTTTACCCTTTCAAACTTATGCTTTGTCTTTTAACAATAATCTTGTCATATACCTTTAAATGAGTGATTTCAATATACGACTTTTTTATAATTTTAACTTATCAATATTAAACGTGTCAACTAATTTGAAATAAAGAAATTATTCTACTTGTACTCCATATAATACAAATGGTAGTGTCGTTAAATGATGTTTTGAGATGCAATTCTTCCCCTAAAACCAAAGTCTATTGTGTAACATACATGTGCTTGTTCGGACTTGCTGTGTCCCTTTCTATCTGACCACTTTGTTTGTGTAATTTGGGATATTGGACTTCTATTAAATGTGGGAATTTGTGGGCCAATTATAACTGACATTCTACGGCCCTTACTTATAGGCTTTAGTCCTTGTTGGGCCCACTTCTGTGATACGTCCAGCTGGGGCCCAGTAGCAATAAAATGACTTAAGAAATTTCTAGTACCTCCCATATTATATGGGACTTTGAAATATTATTTATGAGATAAATAATATTCCCAAGTTGCATATAAAATAATCGGAGGTAGTATTTTTTTTTGAGAAAAAAAAAATTTAAGCCGTGAATTCCTGACACATGTGCGGTCAGGAAGATATTTTCAGTTTTCCAGAAAATTATTGGCATCCTGTGTCTGGTAAACACCAACCTTTGTAGTTTACCTTCATTTTGCATATGTTAAAGCATACTGTACTAAAAATATGGTCCTTACCTTCTATGTTTCCAAATTAAGTGTATAATTGATCCTTGTGTACCTACAGTGGTTCTTTGACTCAATACTTTGTTTCCTCTTGGTAGTGTATGTTAATCATTCATCTAAAATAAACTATCGCAGCTTTTTGTTGGTCGTGTAACACCGGAGTATGAACGTGTAATGTAAAAACCAAATTCGATTAGCAAACGTTTAATTATATAATGTAATAAATCTAAATTATTTCCATAAAGTTTTTTAACTAAGCATAATGAAAAGAAATCAAAATAAGTACATTACTATATGTAGAGTTTATACTAGTTTGTCTTCCAAGTTTACTACTCAAAATAAGTACATTACTATATGTAGAGTTTATACTAGTTTGTCTTCCAAGTTTACTACGTTAGGTTCCCCAATACTGAATCTTGTTTGATACTTGAACTAGTTGAGCTATAGAAAATAACCAAAAGATTACAGTGATTCATATCATTTATCAACCTTATAGAGTTATAGGTTAGGCTTCCAATAATGCTATTATCAATTCAATGGATGCTCAATTTTACTTATTCAGAGTTAGATGATGTATCAAAACTTAAAGATTATTGAATCTCATTTACATCAACTTTCTATTTTGGTTCTGTATACAGAAAACTAAACATAAATATATAGATTCAATTTTACATATAAATTTCCAATGATTATTCCAAATACGCGATACTACAAGAAATGAAAATAAATTATGCTGAAATTAGTAAAAATATTTTGGTTCTGTATACAGAAAACTAAACATAAATATATAGTTAGGCCCTGTTCACTTCACCTTAAAAAAATAATATTTAGTAAAAATAATTTTAGTTCAGCACAGTAAAAATAAGTTCATTTCGGTAAAAATAATTTCAGTTCAGTAAAAATCAGTAATATTAAATAATAAATATAACAGAGAATCAATAAAAATAATTTCAGTTCAGTAAAAATAATTTCAGTTCAACAAAAATAAGATGAAATAAACGGATCCTTACACTATGGTAGATCTAACTCCAAAGCTTTCTATTAGAGAATTGAAACAAACAAAATTCATATATCCTATTCTTGCAAAGATGATTTATCACATCGCTCTTACTCCTCTTTCCATATAATCATGTCGTACAATTAACAATAAAGGTTTTTGAAACAACTCTACAATTCTTTATAATAGTTGTAGTTGACTAGTTGATTATCATCACGCTTTTACCGTACATAATCTTAGTATCGATTTTTCGAAAAATCAACTACAATTCCTAATGTTGATTGCAATGACGGTTACTTTGTACCATATTTAAAATTAGATTTTTTTTTTTTTCCTGTTACATCAATTTCAGCATAATTGATTATTTTCATTTATATAGGGAGTTTGAAAAAACAAGAGGACATATCACAAATCCTATCAAGCGTCAATTATATCAAACACCTCAAATGTGAACCAACGAACAAGACAACGGATAATCCCTCCTTTCTCGGTGGTTAAACAGTCAAAAACTTTGAATCAACTTCTTCTTCTTCTTATTATTATTTAATTTTTTATTTTTTATAACTTTTGGAAAGGGTCAAGCTCCAATTAAAATTAGATATGCTTAAAATGAATAAGGGATTGCATTAATGAACTAACGATCCTACTAGCCAATAGATTGGTCCAAAACTCCACTTCTTATCCCTTGTAAGTTGTAACAATGCTAATTTGCTAGACAAGGATAATGCCGTGCATTACATACTTAAAGGAAAAAAGTCACTCTAAATACCATTAATAGCAAATAAATAATGATCGAGACAAGGAAAAAAAAAAAAAAATGGAATGTACAATATTTATTTAGGACAATTTACTACGCAGTAACTCATTTAGGATCGCGCGCTAATTGTTTCATGCCTTTGAATCTCATCTCTCAAGTACCCAAGAACATACGATGTTATAATTTGACGCGTGCACAACTCTAACAAAGAGTTTTAATACTCACATATGGAGTATAATCAGATGTACGTAAAAACTTTGTATTAACAACTAACACAAGGCGAAAACATGATATTACATATCAACACAAACCAACTAATCTTCTTTCCATTACAAGTTCAACTCTTTCTATTTGTAATCAAATAATTAAACTTAGAATTCCCTCGTTATCAAACAACTCTAATTTGACACTAATTTATTAGATTATTTTTAGTATAATTTGTGGAAAAAATTATAATCATGAGATATTTTGTTAAAGTAATTTCAATATAAAAGTATATGTAATTTCAAATTATTTTACTCGTTGAAAATTAAAGATATTAATAAGTTAAATTTTTTTTTTGTCCCTAAACAATTGACACAATCAAATGTGAAAATTTTATACAACCTTCGTTTCTTAAAGTTTGACTCACTTACTATTCATGCGGATATAATAAAATAACTTTAACTATATTTTATGATTAATACAATAGAAATAAATTAATATGTGAGATCTTATTGTATTCCCTTTATTATAATATTTTTAAATATCAAATTTTTATAATATATTAACAATTACTAAAATAAAACGTTGCTAACATCATCACTGTCCACATGTCACTCACATAATATAAATTTTCCCGCTTAAATGTAAAGATGATGTCATTTTTTTTTTTGGTTTTTGTTTTTTGTGGAGCTACCATATTTAACAATTTTGAAATTTGAATATTAGAAGTTTTTACATTACAACTACAACCTATCAATTTATCTTTAAAAAATGAAACAATTGTAAATAGCACACTAATAAATGGACTCCTACATTAAAATATGTATTAGATGACGTTGAACGGGTACTATATCATAATTTTGATGAAAATCTAAAACTATAAAATTACAAATATTTTTGTATAAGGTGCATAATTCTTATTTGTATTTATCCCATTTTTTTAAATATACAAATTATAAAAATAGATTTTATATAAACCGTGCGTCACACGGGTTAAAAACCCTAGTTTTCACTTATATATAAAAATATTCATAATCATATTGATAAAAAATATTCATTAAAGATTGCGCAAATATAGAGTGAATTGAACATAAGACTAGTACATTATTTGAAAGACGAAGAAAGATTTTTTTTACGTTAATCATACATTGCCTAATTTGTCTGCTTGTCTCTGAATATGGACAGGTGTTTGGCTGCTAGTGACTAATGAGTGGGATTTTTAAGCAGCAATACACGGAAAGCAATGATATCATCTTGAAAGGCAGTAATTACATTTTGCAAACCAAAAATTACTTTATAAATTTATTTATTGGGTCAAACTCAAAGTGGCCAATAAATAAAAATTCACTCTTGCACATTTTAAGAGAGAAAAAATAGAACAAAAACAATATACAAATAAGGAAGAAGATTTCACTGTCAATAAATTTAGTTTTTCAAGGCATGTAAAATAACAAAATAAAATTTTCCAGTTATCATAAGAAGAGGATTTTCGTGAAAAGAGGGCTCACAGGCCAATAAAGCCCATACTTTCACCATCATTCATGCTTGTTTGCCTCCTTATTTAGTCTTCATCTTCTACCATTTCTTCATTCTCCATTATAATTGATCTTTGCAGCTTTTGGGTGTTTTCCTATTTGAAAGGTAACAACTTTCCTTATGCCACTCCTTTTATATTACGCGCGGCCACTGCGCGGGATTTGATCTCGTGTCTTGAGTACCATCTATCACGACTTTATTGGCTATGTTAGTTGATATAGTAAATTATTTGTTGTTTGTTTATAATGTTGCTTGTTTTAGTGGGTTTACTTTGTTAATGGAGTTTTAATTATAGTTTTTGTAGTACCAATATAACACATGGAACTATTATTTTAGAAATTAAGTACAATTTTGTGATCTAATTACTTTACTTTGGTTTACTTGGTTGCTTAGATTGGAGTTGGTGCTTTATTTGTTTTCTTAGGATTCTTCAATCTTCATCATCATCTTTATCTTTATTCAGGTCTTCTGATTTGTGGGTCATTGCTAAAAATAAAAATTACCCAAAAAGGAAAAAAGTTTGAATTTTTGGGATGGATTCTTATTGTGCAACAATTGGAGCAAATACCAAATTAGCAAGAACTGGTAAATTTTATGGAGGAAACGGTATTTGGGGAGAGAAAATCAGAGGAAGTTTAAAATATGGCAATGTGTTGGTTAATCATCTGTCAAGGAGCTTGAAGACTGATCAAAGAGGCAGAAATATTAAACCTGGTGTTGCTTTTTCTGTCTTGACATCAAACAATGCCACTGAGACACTTGTAAGTTCAATTTTAATGTAATTTACCTTTTCAGTCTTTTTAATTTGGTTTGATTCATGCCCTTGTACAAGTTATGTTGATCATTCATATTTGTGTATGTGTAACATGTCACCCTTAGACGTCATTAAATCTATTTTTGTTAACACATTCTATTTTTGCTTTCGTATATTTTTATCTTTTAGTTCAATATATATTTTTGTATGGCCAGTTTGGTCTAAAATAATATGATCACACATAGTTCAATCTAGGCTTGTATGACCACCTGTAGTTCAATCTAGGCTTGTATGACCACCCGTAATCTAGGCTTGTATTACCACCTGTAGTTCAATCTATTTTATGTTAGTAATATTTCATATGGTGTGTGTACAATTCCAATGAAAAAAATTAGTAGTTCCTTTAATTTTAAACTTCAAAATAATTAAATTTATTGCAGATTAGGGAGGCACCAATCCTCGAAAGGAAAAGTGCTGATCCAAAAAATGTGGCATCAATTATACTGGGAGGAGGTGCAGGAGCTCAGTTATTTCCACTTACCAGCAGAACAGCAACACCTGCTGTAAGTAGACCTTTGGAATTACGTATAGAACTATGAAGAGTAATATTATGGAATTGTGTAAATGTTATGCACATAAATGTTGTGCAACAAATAAAGTTTTGTATCAGGTTTTTGGTATGGACCATGTATATTAAATCAAGTATGATGCAGGTTCCTGTTGGGGGATGCTACAGGCTTATTGATATTCCAATGAGTAACTGCATCAACAGTGGTATAAACAAAGTATTCATCTTAACTCAGTTCAATTCAGCTTCCCTTAATCGCCACATATACCGTACTTATCATGGGAATGGTATCAACTTTGGTGACGGATTTGTGGAGGTAAACTTCTGAGCTGGATACCATAGCCCAATTTAGGATGTAGATTTGAATTTTTTTAATCATATGTGAGTAGCAGAATTGACCGCGAATTATGTAACAGGTTTTGGCAGCTACGCAAACACAAGGAGAAGCTGGAAAGAACTGGTTCCAAGGAACAGCTGATGCTGTCAGACAGTTTATATGGCTGTTTGAGGTAGGACAGTTGATTTCATAGTTCTTTTACTGTTATTTTGGAAACATAGATTCAATTGCATTGGACTGTGGGAAAAGTGTATGTGCTGAATGGCTTTAATATATACAGGATGCGAGGAATAAGAATATTGAGAATATTCTGATCTTGTCTGGTGATCAGCTCTATAGAATGGACTATATGGACCTTGTGCAGGTATTGAATGAGGGTCTTCTTGATTTCAGTTATATAAACTGATCATCATATAATGATATTAACTATCTTTCAATTACTTACTTGCAGAATCACATTGACAGGAACTCTGATATCACAGTTTCTTGTGTTCCTGTGGGTGAGAGGTATGCTGACACTTCCTCTTTGGTGGTTGATATCCTTTCATTATCTGAATATTTCTTTGTTCATATGTTAATATAAGTTTCCTGTTTGTATTTGGCTTCAAATTTATGCCTTCTCCCAGCTGTGCATCGGATTATGGACTGATGAAGATAGACAGCAGAGGCCGAATTGTCCAATTTTGGGAGAAACCCAAGGGAGCTGATTTGGAAGCAATGGTGACCCAATCTTTCTATGATTTTTCATGTTCTTTGTCTATAAAACTTGATTTGGTGGACACTAAATTTTTTTCGATGTCTGGTTTGCTGCAGAAAGTGGACACACAAATTCTGGGATTATCTCGAGAAGATGCTTCAACTAGTCCTTACATTGCATCCATGGGAGTTTATGTGTTTAAGACAGATGTTTTACTTAAGCTTCTGAAACAGTCATACCCAAAATCCAATGACTTTGGGTCTGAAATCCTTCCTTCTGCTGTAAAGGAGCAGAATATTCAGGTATGTCATTAATTTTTGATTAAGATGATCTTTCTCTGATTTTCCTTCTCTTTGTTAGATTTCGTACTCTTCAATCACCATACATGATTTCAGCATTCTGATATACGAAGAGTTTTTTTCGTGTCTTATCAGGCATATCTGTTCAGAGACTACTGGGAAGACATCGGAACCCTGAAGACTTTCTTTGATGCTAATTTAGCACTCACTAAAGAGGTGATCAAGCTTCTTAATCCACAGTTTGATAAGTCATCTATATTAAAACATGCTTGCATTGACATTGAGATAAACGTGTTGAATAACACAAATCATCTTGTTTTATTTTCAAACAGTCACCAAAATTTCAGTTTTATGACCCAAAGACGCCCTTCTACACATCTCCTCGGTTCCTACCACCTACGAAAATGGACAAGTGCAAGGTATGCTCTACTCTAATAAGTAATAACCTAGTACATGCAGTCACTAGTTAAATTAATGACCTTATTTGAACTGTACAGATTAAGGATGCTATTATTTCCCATGGATGCTTCCTGCGAGAATGTACAGTTGAGCACTCTATCGTGGGAGAAAGGTCACGTTTGGACTCTGGTGTAGAGCTTAAGGTATAGATCTAGAAGTTTCCTATCTATCAATCTGTGTAGTATCATGGAACTCCATTTTCTTCTTTTTTCCTGCTCTTTTCAGCAATATCTGATAAGCTGTTCTTTTGGCCTTCCAGGATACCTTGATGATGGGTGCAGACTACTATCAAACTGAATCTGAGATTGCGTCTCTTTTGGCAGAGGGTAAGGCACCAATTGGGATTGGACGAAACACGAAAATCAGGTATAGACTCTTGTCAGAATGGATTGCTGATCACACTTTAAGGGAATTTTTTTTTGCTCAACTGAAAATAAGTCAGATTACTATAGCATTTGGAAACAGTTTTATTACATGTGTTTTTTAAAAAGGTGATTTTTTTCTTTTGTAGGAACTGTATCATTGACAAGAATGCAAAGATAGGTAAAAATGTGATCATCACCAACAAAGACGTGAGCATACTTGACCCTATATGTCCGCCTTTATATGCACCATTTATTCTTTAATGCTTTCATTAAGCACAAGACTGAACACTGTCTTTTTTCGCCACATTTTTAGGGTGTTGTGGAAGCTGATCGGCCAGAACAAGGGTTCTATATTCGATCAGGAATCACCGTTGTAGTGGAGAAGGCAACCATTGAAGATGGCACTGTCATATAGTCATCTTCCAAGTTCAGTGATGAAACATCTTTCAATACATTAAGGCTTGAAGCAGGGGATTCGGATTAGGAACCTTCAGAAGACATTATGTCAAAAGGTGAGAAGTACCGTGAGCATGGACTACAAAGAACGAGCTGCCAGAGATCATATATCGCCGTATGCCTGTATGTTCAACTAGAGACCAGCTTGGCTATGCTGTGTACAAAAGAGAAAAGTGGAGAAATAATAACAAGCTGACCTCATGCTTATAATCATACTACTACTACTACTACTACTACTAGAACTACATACTACTACTACTACTACTACTACTACTACAACTAGAACTACATTATATAGCAACATTCTGTATGAAATGAGAGTTTTTGGGTAGGGAATAATAATGTGTTCAGCTGTCAATTAATCATAGATTGAAATCTTGTATCAAACTTTAGTTTATACATCAATAAAAAAGTTGTACACTTTTGGGAATTACACAAATTCTTTCATGCTTTTTTATATTTTTTACTTTATCCTTTGCTTGACCATACTATCCCACATTATGGAGTTTTTTTTTTTTTTTCTTGTAAATAAATTACTTTAGATTTTAATATTCAACAATTTGTTATTATTAATTTTCTTAAAATTAAAAATTTAGTAGATCTGTGCAGCATTTGTGGTATCAAATTTCAACTAAACCAAGAAAATGATGTGATGATTTTCATAGCCATGTGGCACATAGTGAAAATTTCAAGGAATAAAACCAAAACACGGAATGTAGCTTAATTAGTTATCCAGTTACAAATTTGCAGCAATGTGACCATCATTTTTTCTCTTCTTGAAAAACAAAAGATGGAGAATGATTCAAAAGACTATTCCTCCGCTCCCCAAACCTACCTTTACAGCATCTCCATCTCCTCCTTGCCTGGCATCAGAGATGCACCAGGTTAGTATCCTTCATTTTTCCGACAATTATGTGCCTGCTTATTATTACTATGCGCGTATGTATCTATTTGTCGTGTTAGTACGTTACTCTTACTAGATCATTATCATATTACATCATCAATGTGACTAGGTAATCTCAATGGAGGGAGTAATATTACTCATAACTGTCACAAGTCGAAAACCAATATTGTTGGTGCACCAAATTTAAATTTTTTGTGATATTTTTGTTCACATAATGTTTTATACGAAGTATTATCTAAATAGATCTTAACTCCCCTTTCTTTTTTATTCTTTCCTGCTGAACAATGTATTGATGGCACAAGTACTGGAAGTAAAGGCTGGGGATTCACTAAGAGATGCAATACGCTTGCTGTATGAGAAGAATGCAGCAGTAGCACTCATCACAGACAACTCTAGTGCTAATAATGCTGCCACTTCAAAGCTCTCGGATCGCTACATTGGTGTCATTAGTTTTGCTTCCATGGTCCTATGGTGCATAGAGGTACAGTACCCTACTTGTCAAGTATACAAAATACCAGTCATCTGATAGTTTATTTTGATATCAGTCATGGTTAATCGTTTATTTGTAAGCAAGTGCCTCCATATGTTATATGTTCAGCCGTACAGGAACAACAGATAACCATATCAATGCATACAATATTAATTTCTATGGTGTTAACAGATGAACCAGTGGAATAATCAACTATCTCTTGTTTGTTTATTTTCGATAGTCGATGCAGTATATATGCATATATTTTACTTCAACAATTTCTAAATCTGTCCAGTTTTTCAGTCCTGGTTCTGTGGTCATTTAGTGATTATGTAACATTGTAGAGGCTTAAAAAGGATGGAGCTAATCAAAGCCAAAAGGAAGCTGGACAACATGCAGTCGAGGGCTTCATCTCGAGGCTAGATCAGAATCCTGATTTGAAGCAAGCTAAGGTACAATTCTCTACTCCCAATGTCCGGAGGAAGAATTATACGATAGCCACTAGAAACGAGTCAGACTATGTATTATGCCACATCTCCCTTTTACTTAACATTTTATGGCATCATATACTAATTCAACAGGTGGGAGAGCTAGCAAAATACTTTCTATGGGATCCATACATTCCTGTGCATTTGGAAGACGATACTCTCTTTCAAGTGCTCCTGCTTCTATCCAAGCATCAGCTCCTCGTTCTGCCTGTCATAAAACGAGCCACAGATCACGTTATCGGTTTCATTTCACAGGTACTCTTCTTGCCAAATCTTTCACGATCTTCCATGGTAAGACTGCAAAGATTTTCATTGTATAAAACTGCAGAGAACTTATTATCTTCAGTTTGGTAGCAGAATGCAGTAGTCAAGTTCCTTCTCCGATCAAGTGGGTTAGAGTGGTTTGACAGCATCGCTAATGTTACCTTGTCAAAATTTCGGTACTAAAACAAGTTCAAGGATTGTATATTAGAGGAAAAATTGAAAACACTAATCTAAGCAACATTAATGTCTATGACAGATTTCAGAGGAAGAACTCTGTCTATCAAGTATATGGAGACCAAAGTATATCAGAAGCATTGTTAGTTCTGACGGAAAACAGATTCGCTACAGTTGCTGCAGTAGACAGAATAACTGGAGAGTTGATTGGAACAGTAAGAAAAGATGACAACACCCTTCTAAACAACTATCAACTGTTTTCAAAATCCAAGTGAGTTACATCCTTATTATGGAGTAGTATTACCTGTAACTGTAGGCTCATTTTCGAAGAGTTGTTGCTAAAACAGTTTCTCTTGCTCTTGTTATAGGACTATGACTTTGGCAGAGTTCATTAAAATAGCCAGCAATGAGGACAGCTACAACCTTATTACTGATAATCAGCAGCATGATCCGGTGGCCCAAAGTCTCCGCCTAAGAAATAATTTTATCCTGAGAATGGATTCACCAGTCATCCACAAAGAACCCGACACCCTTAAGCAGGTCATGGTAAAAATGACGGAGACAAACAATGAGTCCAGCTTCATAGTTGATGAATTGAACAGAATGATAGCTGCACTTACCTTTAAAGACATTATAATAGAGTTTGCTCCACCCTGTTTGGAATCGAGGATCAATGGAGGTGGGTTCTTTGAACCCGCTTTACAGAAAACTGGATGCCATATAGAGAATGGTACCTTAGTGTCTGACCAGTAAGCTCCTTTGTGTCTTTTTTCTTTCTGTAATTTAGGGTGAAGTGAAGATGCTATAGAAATGACTGTTTTAATCAGGTCTAGTTAAGATTGAATGTCATGCTGACAAAAGTTGAGTATCATAAGCCCTTTCGAATTAGACTTCTTATTATTGTGTGATTTTTGAAACTTTACGAATATGTGTAGTGTGTAGCTCAACACTCAAGCTGTGCACAACCTTGCAATCTAATTTTTCAGCTGTTTGACTCGATTCTGATTTTTAGGGTCTCCAGTCAGATGCTTGGAGTTAGATTGAATTTTACAGCAGAGATTAAAACCGTCTAATAAACAATCTCTAATGAAATTATCATGCCAATGGCAATCTACATAGTCTCAAACCACAAACTAGGCAAATGGAGTACAAAAAAGCACAATAGAATTAAAATATTAACAAAGGATCCCTTTATAATGAAGTAATTGACAAAAAAAAAAAAAAAATCATTAAAAACTGACCACATCAAACTACAGCAGAAACACTGGGGATCATCTGGGAACTCTCCATGACCTGTTTGGAAATGCCGTGTAAGAAGTTTATGCCTCACATAGCCTCCAAAGAATTAAATCATGCCTCGTTGTTGAGAAATGACGCATCATTGTCTTAGCTATTCATTTCAGGATCGGTTGCAGGAAAGTGATGCCTACTTGGATTCTAGACCCAAAAAAAGAGGTCCTGCCACAGAGTGGCTGCATCCAGGAGGAAAAACACTTCTGCAGGATGACCCGCCATTATAAAGAACCCCACTGAAAAATGTAGAATGCTAGTGGTCTCTAAATAATAATCCTGTCCATCAATTGTTGGATTAAGAAATAAGGATAGTTCTATATATCCACATTATAAAATCACCAAGAGCATCTCCCAATGGTTCGGTAGTTCATTGCAGATTATTCTTAGTACTCCTTGGTATTCCAAACTACAATGGATCCTCTTTTCTTAAATTCACATGATCTGATTCCATTCATGGCTTTCCCCATCAACGCCATGGCAGCAATACTTGGGAACTGTTTCTTTGCAAGCTCATCCTGCCCTATCTTCAAGCGATGAGGCTCACAGATCACCAGGGGCTCAGGATTACTCGGTGGGGGAGCAGTGCTATTCTGACACCATCTCTGAATCCAAGAACAACCGGGCATACTTCGGTTCTTGTTTGTTGCCACCAGGGATGAGGATCCACCATTTCTTGTAGACTCCACAATTTGATCTATCTCCATCTGTGCCTTGCCATGATTCTTGCGTAACTTGGCATCAAAGCTCTCTCTATTGTATTTTGTTATTCTGTTGAAGAACGTATTAAATTTCTCATGCGAAGAGCCTTCCCCCACATCTGAACTCTTGGTACCAACCCCTAATGAATCAGAAGAACTTACCTTCAGACGCTTAATCCATCTGTTACCCGGATCTGGGCCAAGAGAACGTTCTTGTCGGGTATTACTCTCAGACCTTGAGGTCTGTTCATGAGATGAGAAGAGCTGTTTGGCATTCAAACTACGGACTCTTGAAGTACTTGGGTCTTTTCCATCTGTTGAGCTTACTGCAGGTTGAAGCCCAGGTTGCTCTTCTGCCTCTTCATTTATATCAGGTATCTCTGTGATAAGCCTTTTGCTTCTGGTTTTCTCTGTGCTTGAATCACAGGCAGTTGGTGGGCAACTTTCAGCCATAGTATCATCCTGCATGCAAAGCATCAGGCAACTACATGAACTTCTTTAATTTGGAGAAGCACATCTTTGTCAAGCAATTTATAATTATTCCAATTGAAATGCTTCGAGTCACCAATATCCCATCAAAACTAGTACTGTATAAGTTCAGAGAAAATTCTAGTTTGATATACTTAAATGAGGATATTGCATGTACAAGTATTCTTGTTAAATGACCATGCAACCCATAATCAACAAGAATTAAGAAATAGATACCTTAGTTGATGGGGATGGTTCCATACCTGTAATAAAATAAAGAAACATGCTGAATTAGTTTAAGAGAATTGCTCTAGAACAGCTCAACTTCCTGCTTAGGTAAAGACAAGAAATAAAGGCATGGTTCAGAAAAGTCTAAACTACATTGAGAGAGCTGCAAAATACCCAATAGAATATGCCGGTTCTTAGGAGCTTCTACTTGCATTCCGTTAGTTTCAGCAGATGCTTCATTCCTTGAACCCGTTTTACAGATGGAAGGGTTTGCAGTATTTTCCTTCTCTTCACTATCATCAGTGGAGCTCCACAGAAGTTGGATCTTCACTCCTCTTGAACGAGGAGCAACGTTAGTAAACATGCTAAAAGGCCCACCAAATGTCTTATCTTCTTGATGAGCTGAAGTTGGTTCAACCATTACCTGATGTCCTTTTGACATATTAACACAAGTTTCTTTGGTGAATAGAATGTGGTGGGCTCTCTGAGAGATTTTGGGAGGATCTCCAGGTGAATTCTCCACAGAATCAACCATTGTACAAATCCTCATAGTCTCCACATTGCGGAAAGAACATGGAACGCTATCGAGGGGTTGGCCCCCATTTTGAGACTGCTGCTTGAGAAAAAAGGACTGAAAATTCTTTTTCCCTGAGGGACAACCATGTTGCAAACGTACTCCATCACTCAGTCCAGAATCATGACAAAGGTCATTTCCCATTTTCTTTTCATGAAACAGGACTGAAGAGGATTTTTGATACTTGCAACGATCCTGACTAAAACATGTGAAATTATCATTCGAAAAGTGTCGTTCAAATACCACAACTGGCTTTGATGCATCAGATTTGTTATTGTTAAAAGATCTTGATACACTTTTGCCTTTCTGTTCTTGGAATAAATTCGACATAGCTTGTTGCTTGCTATTCCTCAAATTGAAATCCCTCGAAGTATCCTCTTTACCAACAGCTAAGGTTAGAGCCATGGACTTGTGGCCAAACTCGTGATCAACTTCTGTCCCGACTGTGGAAGCATTCTCTTTGTATTGGCCAAGGGTGAGACTAGGAAAAGATAAATTACTGAGTTTATTCTTAAAATTTCCCAGTTTCTTAGTCAAATCCTCATTAGCACATCCCCCGGTTTTTATTTCTTCAGGACTTTTACTTACTCCTTTCCCAGATTGAAGACTATCTTCTGTCTTAAGCCCACTTTGCATCAGGGAACCTCTTGTATCAACATGTCCTTTATTGTAACGCAAAAATGAGGAACTGTCAGCAGTTGATCTCGGCTTAGAGCTGTTTTTCATCCAGCGGGACATCCAGCTGGGCTGATGGGCACGTGAGGATGTCATCGATGTTGCATCCTCATCATGAGAAAGCCTAGCAGCATTATCAGACATGTAGCTGGAAAATGCAAGTATCCTTTTCTACTCTTCCTTTAAGCACTTTACTTACTCTCAAGATGCAATTGCCCCCTGAAATGCACACACGCAATCAAAATTCATTTTACAGAAAAAATAAACGAATACAAAGTTAATCAAACATTCAGGCATATATCCATGCATTAAGGTGAGCTCATGTACATCAATCAAGTTTCTCCATCAAGGCACTATGTTAACTATAAGCTCCTTATATAAAATCCTGACTTGAACAAAAATTTCCCGAGAACAACAGATGAACTCAACAACAGTTTACTGGAGAGCCAGTAATATCAGTATAACATGACAAAGAATTAGATTGCAGCCAACTTTCAACTCAGCAGTACATCCTTGAAAAATTCTTCTTAAGAGAAAACAAAGATTTGACATTGATAATTATCACAAAACCCTTGGATTACATATAGGAAAAGAACAAAGTGAGCCTTATGACCAATGTCAGAGGCAGACTGACTGCATCAACCAAGGACAACCTCCCACCAGTGATCTGACATCAAAAAATTAGCAGCCTTACTCATTTGCAGTTATTTCCTTTACACCCATAATTGTAAATATATCAACTACTTGTATAATACAGTACTAGTTTGTGATCAATATAATAATAATAATATTTAAAAAAAATTACTTCTTACATTTTAAGTCAGGATTATAGTTTTATCGTGCAAACTCCGTTGTTTCTTAGAAGGCCGATATTGAACTATCAATAAAGCTTTGGATAACGTGCCCAGAAGACATATTTGGTCCCTAGTTTCTTAAAAAATAATGAAGCACTGCTATCTGCTTTGTACACGTCTGACAAAGTTTACTTCTTTATTTATTTCCTCACAACAGACCATCAAACTTAAGCTCCAAAGTTCAAGATAAACAGCCATAGACTATTCAAATTCAAACAAGGTCACAAAAAACCCATCTGGGTCTAGCTGCATACAAGTCAATTTCATGCTCCAAGAACTTAATGATGTAAACGACATTTGATCCCGGATTTTAGATACCACCCCAAAAACTTTACTTACCTAAGCTAACTCAAATCCACAGAGCATAATTAATCATGAATTTACCATGATAGACAAAAGTTTAGTACTTTAACAAATAAAATTACCAAAATTCAGATCATATGAACTTAATTGAATTCCACTTAATTGAATTCCACCCAATTGTAAAAGTGAGTAAAACCCACATTCAACAAATGAAAAAGAACAGAAATAAAATCCCAAAAATATAAAACAAGTGCATTGAAATTCTATGAAATTGGGAGATCAAAATGAACAAAAAAAGCAGAATTTGAAGATGAACTGACCTGAAGAAGAAGAAAGTTAGGAGAAAATTGGTGCACCCAGATAAACAAATAATGTTAGAAGTATGGAGATGGATATGATTTTCCTTTTCAAGTAATTACTACAATAGTTGTACAACTTGTTGGGAATTTGGGTAGGCATGGAATCTGGGACCTTTTTTTTAATAAGTATATAATGTATGGTCTTAATATGAAGATTATGATTTTGTGGATGATATTGCTTTGAAGAGGGCAGTCTATGGAGGAAAAGGTCATGGTGTCAATTCATATGGTTCTACACTTACAAGTTGGGTACTACAAAGACACAAAGTGTTTTTGTGATGTAAAGTTTTTCTTCCCCTCTTCCATTAGTGTAATGTGTGTTTGGTATTATGGTCAATTTTCCGTTTTTTCGTTTTGAAATTTTTTTTATTAAATGAACAGCGCGTTTTATGTACAACTAGCCAAATTATGTGGTTGGACAAAATAACCCCTATAAAAACTGACAAAGTAACCCATGTAATACCTAACAAGTATCCCCTAACACTAACCGAGCAGCCCCTATAACACTGACGAAGTAACCCTTGTAACACTGACCAAGTAATCCTTATAACACTCACGAAGTAACTCTCATAATGACTGGCCACACGGTGTGGTCAACCACATATAAATGTTTGTGTTAAATGAATAGGTTGTGTCATAAATTTATATTTATCGTGTTCACATTAGAGATATTAATTTTGGAAATTGACAACCGATCATTACTGTGTTGACCACCGAGGTTGAATATACAAGCCTTAACAAGGGCCAAACTACTATCTTTGGTGGTCAACTCTTATTGTTCCTGAGCTATTGTGAACTTAATCATTAAATGTCATTTGAAGAAGATAGTGGGTGGTGTTTTTCAAGATGTAAGGATAGATGACGAAGGAATATGAGGGAAAATGTTATGGGATCTCGTAGAGAAAAAAGGTATATACAAGACTTCTTTGATGTTGGAGTTTGTGTTTCAATGTACTTTTAAATTACTTTTCTTCACGTTTATATAGAAGTATAAATGCTCATTTCAAAGTTGTGAAGATCCTTTTTAAGAATGCATAAGCCCAATTCATTATAAGCCAAAATTTTTTAAGGTGACACAAATTATCTTGAGCCTCCTTTTCTTTTCCGGTAATTGTCATCTTATGATGTAATTAAGTGTAACTTTCCAAGGCACGATTTTATTTTTCCCCTTAAAATAAAAAAGTGTCACTCAAAAAGCACCAAACTGCAACATAATTGAGACAATTTTAGTATACATTACTAAATGGAGAAAAAAAGATATCCTAAGAATACTTAATTTAAATCAATATCTAATAGACTAAAATGTATGTAGGTATATATAAATTTAGTTAAAGTGAGTAACAAATTACATTAAGTTAAATTAAATTTACAAAAAGTAAGTAAAATGACTTCAAGTAGCTGGACAACTTGTATGCATTAGTGCGTCTTTAATTAGAAAATGACAATATCAATGTGGTGAAATTGGTTGATAGAGCAGTGGCTCACCTAGTAGCAATGTGGGACACTAAGGGTAGTTTAGAACTAGTATGTTCTAACACTTGTCCTTAAAGCATCCTAACTTTGACGAACCCTGAGTTGCAATAATAATCTTGCCTAAATTTTCCTCTAAAAAAACAAATTAAAACTTAAAAGTTACTCCTAAATAAGTTCAAAATTACCGTATAACTAGCGTTATATGAATACCCGCGTTATATGAATTGTAATTTTAATTTATTTTTTTAACCTTAAATAGAATGATTTAAAATATAATAAAAATTAAACAGTAATAATTTTTGTAAAACAAATTAGGGATTTTCCACATTGCTCCAAAAATTCTAAAACTTGAGTCAACTCATTTGCCATCTACCGACCTAGAAATTTCGTCAAAATAGGGAGTTTCCAATTTTCCATACGCTAGCAATAGCATATTGCAAATTTGCAATCACTTGGAATAATAAAATGGAATAACAAATTCAACAAGTACAGAAAATAAATACGAGCAAACTCAGAGGCCAGAGATAGGTAGGCAGAAGAAGCATTGAAGAGAGAGAAAAAATCGGGATAAAGAGAAGAAAAAAAAAATATAAATAAAAATCCCCAAATCTCTCAATTCTACTCTAGGACTATTCAAGCATCGCATTTTTCACCATTACTACTGTCGGTCTAAGTCGGATTTCACTCGCCATTTCTAAAGCTTCAACTCTTACAGGTAAATCAAACTTTTCTCTCTCCTCCATTTATTACCAAATTAACAAGAAAAGATTCATCTTTTTCTCGTGAAAACAACCAGATCACACTATTTCGACCTTATTATAAAATTTAAAGAAAAACCCACATCGTAAAATTCTTTAATTTAGCTGATTTCCCCATAAATTTCCCTAATTTTGTGTAATTTTTGGTGGGCAGATCTTGTATTGCAGCAAACCCTAATAAATCTAGGGTGTATTAATGGAGGGAATAGGTGGGTCATCTTCAGAATCTCCGGCGAGCAAGAAACTTCATGAACTTTCGAGAATTTACCAGTATTACTTAGATAAGACGACCCCACATGCAGTTCCAAGGTGGGTAGGAACCCTAGTTCTTGCTGTGATTTATGGATTGAGGGTTTACTTTGTTGAAGGGTTTTATGTAATTACATATGCTCTTGGGATCTACCTCTTGAATCTGCTAATTGGGTTTTTATCCCCTTTGGTTGATCCTGAGCTTGAGGTTTCTGATGGCCCCACTTTACCCACAAAAGGTTCTGATGAATTCAAGCCCTTCATTCGTCGTCTCCCTGAGTTTAAGTTCTGGTAAATTCTTATTTTTTTTATTAATTTCTGTTGGTTTGTGCAGTTTCAGCTTTAATCTTGATTTGTTTTTGGTTTGACTTTGTGGTGGATTTGATTTAGGTTTTCCTTAAAGCTTGGTAGAAGAATGTATGTAACGTTGTTGAATGATTTAGGGAAATGATTAGCGTTGTAGATTATAGGTTTGAGAATGTAACAATGTGTTTCGCGGCATTAAAAAATTAATGGGACTATTGCCAGTGGATTACTGTTGATGAGTTTGTCAGTGAGGTTGATAGGTTGGAGACCAAGGTAATGAGATTTTTTGTTTCTTGGAGAATAGAGTTTGAAGTTGTTGCCTTGTTGGTCATTGATCGTTGTACAATTTTCTTGATCGTTGATATTGTTAGATAAGTGATCTTTATAGTAGCTTCAGGCTTTTGGAAGTCTCGATTCGGACAATAGTTGATGAGGAATTTTGGAGAGTGCTGGGATTTGTGTGTTTATCTTTTAATGGCAGTAGTTGTTGGTGAAAGAGGGGCATTGTGTGAAAATGTTATTAGAGAATCAGTTCTTAAAGGCTTTGTAACAATTCTTGTCAAGTTTAGCCACATTGCTCCCATGGACTCCCACCTCCTAAAACTCAAGTCAACTCATTTGCCATCTGCCGACCTAGACATTTCATCAAAATATGGATTTGGTTTTGGTTTTCCTTAAATCTTGGCCGAGGAATGTTTGTAGTAAGACGCTAAGTTGTTGGATGATTTAAGGAAATGATTAGCATTGTAGACTTTGGGTTTGGGAATGCAACAATGGTTTTTGCGGACTATGCCAGTCGCAGTACTTGTTGATAACGCTTGTCAGTTAAGTTGATCGGTTGGAGATCAAGGTTATGGGGGTTTTGTTCTTAAAGAATAGAGTTTGGAGTTGTTGGCTATTGGTTTGTATAGTTTTGTTGATCATTGAAAGTTCTAGATAAGTGATCATTATAGTAGCTTTGGGCTTTGGAAGTCTGGACAATATATGATGAGGCATTGGGAGATAGCTGGGATTTGTGTGTTTATTTGTTAATGGTAATAGTTGATGGGGTGCATTGTGTAAAAAAGTTATTGCCATTCTGAGGCTTTGAAATTGATATCCTTGTTTTTTTTTTGATAGGGTGGTGATTATGTTGCCTAGATTAACCGCTCCAATCCTAGTAACATACTTACATGAAATTTGAAAGGCAGGTGGCACTCTTTTGACCTCAAGGAGGATGTCTAAGGTTAAGATTTTTGTTGAGGGCATCGGAAATTTTCAATGGACAAGCCTTTTTACGCCTATTACTTCATTCCTTACTGGCTTTTACACTATCTCATGTGGTTAATCTTTAAGACTGATGTTTTCTATGGCTACGATTACTTGGTATTCCTTTGTTTCTGTTCCGGGTTGAGGCTATGGTTTCTTTCATATCTTACTGTTACTTGAGAATGTTGAGGGACCCTTGGTAGAGATGTTGATTTGTTTCTTGTAGACATTTGGTAATTTATATCAGAAGTCCTGGCCTTGTAGAGCAGATTACACTACACCCACTGCTCAAAGGATTCAAAGTAAGAAATTTCTGCACCTGGCCTTGTCAGACCTTTCATTTGATTTAGACAGTTCCAAAAGTCTATATGGAAATTTGGCTCTCTTTAGATGCATAGATGTTGATTAATTGCCGAAGAAGAGCTGTCTGTGTCTTGTAAGAAAAGGTTGCTGGCTTCGTTTGAGTCTTTGCATTTATGCTTTCATAACATTTCAGTGAAGTGTATCACAAAACCTACATAATGAAAAAATTTCCGTTTAAAATCAATGAAATGTCTTTGTTCCAAAATTTGATTTGGTCCTTCAGTTTTCGCGATGAATAGACATTTTACTGTCTTAGTGGATGCCTGGATTGACATGTGAGAAGATAGATTTTTATTTATTTTATTTTTTGGTGTAGAGGGAGCCACAAAGGGCATATGGGGAAGATATATGATTGAATAAATAGGTAGCATAAGTTGTATTGAATCAGCTAGAAGCTGAGAAACAGATCATCTATTCTATGAAATGAATTCTTAATTCTTGAATAGTGGAATATGGACCCTAGAGGACTACCGTGGAATTTGGGTTGCTACCATTATGAAGACGGATATATTTAGTGAAGGACTTTGGATTATATAAATATTCTACTAGTTCAATGATTTGTGGTGCTTGTTATTAAGACACTTGTACTCATTCCTGTACTGTACATTCTCAAATATGTTGTCTTATTATGCTCTTGATGAGCTTTCCCAAGGATCAGCATTACCATCTTTGTAATCCTTTCAGTATACTTGGGGGTCCACTGTTCTTAGCATAAGTTGTTATGTGAAGTGGGAAGACGTATTATTTTACCCATGAAGCAGGGAGCTATTGTTTGGATACAAGTAACTGGCTTCCTTAGTGTAATTGATCCTTTTTACAGTTGATTGTTTTAGCTACCTTATAGCATTGTAGGTTTATGTTCATGGTATACAGTCTACATATGGGGGTGGCCTTGACTCTTGATTGCAAGATATGGGTGATGAATATAACCTCGTGTTTTTTTGGTCATCTGTAGGAGAGATTAGGGAATATAGTTATTACATAGGTTATCATGGAAATGAAAAAGTATGCCACTTTTTGCTTGGTTATTGAAAATTAAGGAAGGTTGTAGCTTACAACAGATATCAATGATTATTGGGTAGTGGAGGTTGATTCTTAAAATTTGTTAAGTGTTGAAAAGGGGTGGGAAGAATTTTTATTTATTTTTTATTATTATTTGTGATGGAGGGAGTGTTTCATTTTACAATTAACTAGCTTGAAAAAGAAGAAACGTTCTATCAATCTATATTAATATAAACTAATGGACTATGGAAGGCCTAGATATGATATTGGTCACTTGTTTACTCAAAAGTGAAGGAAGTTTAGATAATAGTATTAATATCCTGCCTACGTACCATTTTGGTGGTTTAAGCTCTTCTTCATGTAAGCTGTACATTGTGCATGGTGAGCTTATCCAAGGATTGGTAAGTTGTTGGATGATCCTTTTGGTAAGTTGTTGGATGATCCTTTTGGTTTTACTTGGTCTTAACTTGGGTTAGTTGAAGTTGCTATGTGAATTTGATCAGACATTTCTTATTAGTTATTACCAATGAAACGAGGAGCTTGATTTAGGATTGAATTAGTGGACATGTTGGCCTGCCTACCATATCTGGTTCTTGTTTTACTGTTGATTATTCTGATGCCTTGGAGCATCACAGGTTTGAGTTCATGGCATCGGACTATATTGATGTGATCTTGGCTCTCAATGAGAATAACTAATGAGTTGATGATATTTAAGAATTGTTATCCTGTTTGTGAGGATTGTGACTTGTGACTCAATGAGAATTTAGGCCTAAGGTGTACTAAGTGTCTTAACACTCTAACTTCAAGAAAGCACTTAGCTGTCAACTGTAATGTAACACATTCTTAGTACTTTTTAAATATATACATAGATTGGCCTTTTTTTTTTTTTGTAACAATCTCCTCTTTTACCCTTGCAGGCACTCCATTACTAAGTCATTCTGCATAGCATTTGTTATGACTTTCTTCTCTGTGTTCGATGTCCCTGTATTCTGGCCAATATTGCTGTGTTACTGGGTTGTGCTGTTTGTTCTCACCATGAAGCGTCAAATAGCACACATGATCAAGTACAGATATATTCCTTTCAGCATCGGAAAGCAGGTGGGTGTTCCTCTATAGTTGCAATTTCTGTATATTTTTTTTTGGCAGTCTCTGACTCTTTGTTCATGATATAATCTTCTAATTACTTTCTGATAATTCGACACAGAAATATGGAGGAAAGAAACCTGCTGCATCAACCAGTGGTTCTCGCGCTGACTGAATCATCAAGAATTCGCAGGTATTGGAGAAGTGAAAGATCAATCCTTCCTCAAAATTAGTTTAGGACAAGAGTGAAGGGGCATATTGTGAAGATTCAGACCAAATATATCTTTTTATCTGCGTTTTTCAGAAGTATATACGGTATCTGGTTGCATTTTATTACCCTGCAGCTTTTCCTCTCACCAGGAGATTTGTTGTTGCTTAGATTGGACCTGGCCTTGTTTTCTTAACCGTATTGATTTATCGGTGTATTAAAGCTCCAAGTATTATTAGCAAGGCACATCCCCTATTCATTTATTTTCTTGTTCTCTTTTCTCCTTTAATACATCCTACTATTCTGGATTTTGAATACACTATATATCAACTGTGCTACTTGAAGTGCATTCCATACTATGCTCTACAGTCTACACTATATATATTTTTTGCAAAATATGTGCTATATATTGTTGGTGGCGAAAAATTTTGGTTTAATTGTAGATTTTTGGTGCTTAGTCTTTTGTCCTTTCTACTTAAACAGTTTGTCAAAAAAAATGTCATATAAGGGCAATTAAGCTCATATAAAGGCTAACAAGTCTTTCAGGTTTGGAGACGGGTCAATAATCTTGACAAGGACATTTAAATTTCGATAAGTTTCAGTTGGAGCTAGTTGTGACCTTTTCACTCCATTTATTGCAAGTTTCAGCATCAGTTTTTATTGTAGAATTTCAGAGCTGATTTTGATAGCTCAACTGGAAAACTTAAAACTTGAACTCTTTAAATATGATCATTGGTAGATTTAGGGCATTTAGTAATTGTGTAATTCTACATCTGATTTTTTAATTTATTTGGCATGATTATAATGCAGGTAATTTATACTCAACTTATTACCAAGGGTCTAGTGTATGGCCATTGAGCAACAAGCCTAGGAACTAGGAAGTACAAAGCTATACATTACTCCTTTTAAGCCAAATAATATTGCATGAAAAAGGATTACTCCGTACATATGTGAGATGAGTGATACGATAAGATGTGGTTGACATAGAATGTTTCGATATCTAAATATTGAACCCACTTCCTACCGCTACGTAATCTTAATTAGCTTTGCTATTTCTTTTAAGATTGTTTATCAATGTACAACTTACCATAGTCAATTTAGTGACCACAACTCTTCCTAAACCATTGATAAACCTTGAGTACATCATGAAATTGGCACTGACAATTCACCAGTCATTTCTCAATTTAGTGTCCACAACACTTTCAAGTAAGATATCTGATTATTTGCATTTATTACTCCGTAGCTTCTAGGGGTCAGCAAATTGGATACCCGGTCAAAATTTTAGGAATCAGATCCGAAATTGGTTGGTATCGGGTCCTAAAATTCGAAACAGGAATTAAGAATAGGTTCAACTGGTCCTAAAATTTAGGAATTGGAATTGAAACTGGAACCACCGGGTATCGGTTCAGGTTTCGGGTATCCACTTATGTATGTAATTGCTAAAATATAAAACAAATTATAATATCTATTTTGGTCTATTTCATTTTTAGCGTTTAATACTTATATTTGTATATGCATTAAGCTATTTGTATTTATGTTAGGTATTAATAATACTTTTTTATTTTACTAACTAGATACATTCAACATATTTTTTGTTATTAAAAATTTATTTAGTTTAGCATATATTGGGTAACCGGGTACCCAACCGGTTCCGATTCCAAAAAGTTGAGAATTGGAACCGGAATTTTTGCTCACCTCTATTAGCTTTCGGGTTATGGGTATACATGAACATTGATCGTTTTTAATACTCCTTCTGTCCCACAATATAGTTCCTGTTTTCATATTTTGGAGATCCAAAATGTTGTTCATGTTTCTATTTTTGGATAGTATGTAAAGATCATTATACCCTCATTTTTTTAACTTTATTCATTGAACTTCCTAATTTACCCTTAACTTATCCACTTGTATTGTACTTTTTTCCACTTTCTCTCTCTAACCTTTGTCTATAATTGTACTTTTTACTTTTTTTTTCCATTAAATTATGCACTTGCCTTGTACTTTTGTCTAGCTATTTTCTATTTTTAATCTACTTCTTCCACTTCTACTTCCATTTATTAATACCGTGAAAAAAACACAATAGAAACTATACTATGGAACGGAGCGAGTATGTTATTATTTGTCCCACACTAAAATAAAAATTTGCTTATCCTTGTACTAAATGAATAGTTACAGATTAAAGCACAAAAGAAAGTATGAATTAATGGTTGAAACTCACACAATTGTGGCCACATATATAACTTGTTATAGTATAGCTTCTCTCTACCACAGTACCCATTGGTAGATTGAATACGAGTACATGTTAACATTCTGACATTTATTAATCGACAACAATACTACAAATAAAATAAATTGATTTATTTGAGAGACATCAATTATGAAACGTGAACCCTCAAAATTGACTCAACTGATGAACTAGGACATGGAGTAGTCATTTAGTCAATATGAAAAATTTCGTTAATTTTTATCATTCCTTCAAAAAAAAGTAATTTTTTATCATTATAAATAATCATAATTAAGGAGTTGTGAAATACTGGCTAGCTATTGTGCATTTGTATAAGTCAAAATAAGAACAAGTACACAATTTGATACTCGTATTCATCGTAGTATCGTACTCGTATTGTTTTGTTCCATTATTTCAGACAAATAAATTCAAGAGACAAAATATAATAGTTTCATACTACTTATGTTTGTAGAACATATCCTAACATAATATGAAGTATATATTGATTCATTTTTTTAGTAAACCAATAATATGAATAATATCATTATATTTCCTTAATGGGTGTTGCTGAAAATTGAGGATTGCGAAAAACATTAAAGCCTCTCACTTTTATTATCCATTAAAAAAAAAAAGTCCTTCATATTCCCTCACAACATGGTTGGTAGAGAACTGAAGATATAGTGGCAACTGCCTTAGGCCTACTATGGTGCTATCATGGATTCATGGTTCTTTGGACCCAATTTTCCACTTTGGTTGTTTTTTTATGATGTCCAAAATATGGAAAATGGCCTCCATTTACTTATCTTTGTGCTGTAAACCTGTACCGGCTCATAATTTATTGCGTCACCCACCTATTATTTTATGTAATGCTGATCAAGGGTTTTTTTTTTTTTAATTATATTTATTACTTTGTATAATATTTATTATGTATTTTGATAAAGATAAATTTTTGAATAAAATTTGGGTAATGTCATTTGAGTTAGATCAAAATCGAATTATCATTATTAGCTAAGTGTCATCTTGGTCACATCAGTTCAAGTTGGGTATTTGAAATTGATTCATTTTTGCTATCCCTTTTAAAACAATGATTTATGGTATGGACTATGGAACGCATTTCAACAACACTATTTAATGCACGAAATATATAGTTCCATGATAACATCCAGGTGGATATATTATTTAGCTACATCAAATATTACAAGTGATCATATAGTTTATAATACAAAGCAAAGTTTTCACATTCTTAACATCAAAAGGGAAAGCTGAGAAATGTGATCCCTTAATTCATTTTTTTTCTTCATGGTTTTCTGTTTAATAATTAGGTAGAAGAAACACTTGCATCTTGAAAAGATATAAACCTTGGAAAATTGATTGCCAAGATGTTTCAAATCCACAGAGGTGTATTTGACATCAGGATAGAGTTCAGAAGCTTCCACTCCAAACGATGGCTCGATCTCGAAGTTAGTCTGATCACCCCTCACAAAAACAGCATGTCCAATAGCCAAAATGACATTGACTGGAGGTGGAGAATCTGCAATAGTAGCATTATACCAATATATCAACCTCTACATATCAATTAGACTGAAATCCTAATCAAGAGTTGTTTAAAACAAAAGATATCAGGTGCAATGGTCACATAGTGCTACCAAACATGCCACTGATTAACTAACGAGTATAAAATGTCACAAAGTACATTACACCTTACACGCAATACCTTTCTAAGCTTAAACTAATGATTGAAGTCCATGATTGGTTTGTATACTCTATCACAACATAATTAACTGACATACCTTGGATATTCTTCAAGACTTGTTCTTCAGGAACATACTCTTTCTCAAGAGTTTTACCGATCTTTTTCTCCCACAATTAAACAAGCTCGTTGAAAGACAATATGTTACCAGCAGGTTTAATGTAGAGAATCTTGTTTAGGGTCCTTGGATCGTCCACTGCTCTGATTGTGTAGGTTCCAATGTCGTCTTCCTTGTTGTAAACCGCTGTAACATAACATTTTGACAAATAATATCATTGTCAACTTCAGATACATAGTAAAAAGGCTAAAAACATTATGAAAACTGTAAGCATATGACTGAATCAAGTTAATAAATGAATTAATATTATTCAACTAACTACTAATGACAACCTTATAAAAACTGTGTATCAGATTACCTGTAGCATTTCCATCACCCAAGATGACAACTTTATCTCTTGGCGGAGCAGTGGCTCCAGGCTGAGAGAAACTAGGGAGAAAGTAGCCAGCAAAGTTGTTGGATGACACATAAGTGTAGGGAATTCCAGCAGCCTCCACTGATCGCCGGATTTGGGATTTAATTACAAATGTCGATTTTGCAGGCTCCACAGCACTTGTACGATCCACATGACCACATCCACACCAAACTCCGAGGGGAAGAACCTCTATACATCCCAAATATAAAATTTCCATAATTAGTAAAGATTAAGATCAAGGAAACTTTTCATTCTCATAATCTTCAATAACATTTAGAGTTTATGTTTGTATAATTAATACATGTATAATCAATAAAAAGTAAATACAGTATTTTTTTTACTGATCTTTATTAGTGTGATTTCATAGTATGGAGTAAAAATTGGATCAGATCAAAGCAACAGAAAAAGATGGAGTAACACTAATTGCTTCTCAATCTTCTCATACACCAACACTCACTCTTGGGACCATTCGAAAAAAGAGAAAAAATATGACCGAAAACGAAAAGCACCGAGAATTCAGTGGAATGTCTCAACATCAACAGTCTATAATGAATGTATTAGGCTCCATTTGTTCATTACATCAATAAGTTTCTCCTAAGACACAATTAATTTGCAATATTTTTAGTTAATTAACTTAAATACACTTCACCAGCAGTTTATAAGAACAAGGCTACTATTAGTATGATTTAGATCAACACGGGTTGGTATTCCCTTTGTACGAAAATAATAGTCACACATCATTTTAAATGTTCGAAGAAAAAAAGTCATCACATTTCCTATAATATACCACAAATTAGAACACATTTTGCTCCTGAAACAACATACAATTCTTCATAATAAAGTGAGTGAAGGATCAATACCTTAATATTGCCAGCTTCCTTAATTGCATCAATAATTTTCACTTGATCGGCCAACAAAAGGTACCCAACAGTCGAGATTACCACATCTACTTGCTTAATTGCTTTCACCAAACTTTCACGATCATAAACATCTCCCTACATACAATAACATATAAACAACTAACCAAATTAACATCATCTCATATTTCCTTGAAAAAATCACAACAAAAAAAAGACATTAATAAAAGCTAGCCAAGAACATTTTTTACGTACCGAGACAAAATTGACACCTAAACTCTTGAAGTTGTCTATGATGGAAGCCTTAGCAGGGTTAGAGAGTGTCATTACGAACAAGAGCGAACGTTGGGTGGCCCTCTTTAGCGCTCGCTTCGACGACGAATTTTCCGATGTATCCTGTGCCTCCGATCACCAAAATCTTGCTCTTCTCGGCCATTGTCAAATAATGTTTTTTTTCAAGGAAATTTTGTGAACAAAAGTTTTACTAGAAAGGAGCTAGAGGATGATGATTGTGTAGGAGAACTTCATGTCACGCTATTTAAAGTCGCTAAGGAAGGTGTAATTCCTTTCAAAAAAAAAAAAAAGGTGTAATTACGGTTATGACCTTGTGTTTTAATCGTAGTACATTGTTATGAATAACGTCTACTTTCATTTCTTCGATCATTAACATGTCTACATTAACGTTATCTTTGTTTAAGGGTGAAAAAAGCTCTGTATTCAATTTTTCTGAGATGTCGTTGACTTTTAGTTTACAATTTATTTTAGGAAAAAGGTGACAACTAATCCAAAATTGTAAAACTTGACAATATGTTTCAACAATAATAAGCTTATATAATTTACAATGTATGAATAATGATATAGATATGTATTCCAGAACCGCATTATAAAAAGAAAAATGCTTAAACCCGAACTATATATAAGGAATTAAAAAAAGAATTAATTACTACGGAGTACTACGGATTAATATTTTAGGAAAAGCATTTAATACTTAGGTGTATAGTGATCTTCTTATAACAGACTTTGTACATTATTTTATGATGACTAGAAAAAGTTCATTAATACTTAAGTGGGCTAAATCCGAATAACATTATAATACTAGTATATATTCCAAATTTCTAAAATGTTACTAATAGAATAATGTGGTTGAGAGAGAATGAATATAACCCAAAGATCCAACTATGGTAAATTGTCATATGAAGTACTTCCTATTATATACTGCATTTGTCCTTCACACGGATTTAACTATCACCGTACAGGTTCAATCACACTATCAACAAGGCTATTAATTCCGAAAAGGATTAAGTATTTGAAGACGAGCAAAAAAACAATCATCATCTACGGTATGGAATTGAACTATGGATGATGCTGCAACATCGTTACCTAAAGAGAAAAACGACACCTTGGTACTAGAAGTTGTTAGTTGGTCATCATCATCAAGACTAATGTTGGTCACCTTCATATAGTTTCTTAGACTAATTTTGATTTATTTTGTGTGGCTAATATAAAGTAATGGTGTTTGGTGGTCGAAGCTTCAGTAAAATATACTCATCTTTAAGAACACGCAAAATAAGATAATTAGACTAAAAGAGAGTAGTTTAGTCATCACTTTGTGCTGTACTGCTGTGCTAGTGTGCTACAACATGGGTTCATGAGTTCATGACTACGAATTATTGAGTCACCCATTCAGCGTGCAACCATGATTTGGTTACTGAAATCATGTCATGAGAACAATATTTTATACAATATGCAGCAAAGTGATCAAATTACAAAAATGAAATACTGCATTTTAATTATCAATGGGACCTATTGTTACAAATTAAATTAAAATATGGCTTCCAATTTATTTATTTTTATTTTTATTTATTTATTTATTTTTATTATTATAGTATTATATTAAAACTAGGACCTGATTAGTTTCACAAAATTTAACCTCTTTTCCTCCAAAATATTTCTAAAAACGGTTGTCTATTACCCACAGAGGTGTGAACCTACTAGTTCAAGGTACATCTGACGGTCACACCCAGGTTCAATTAGTCTCATGTACCTTTTAATATAACTCCAAATTCAATTTATCACATGTACATTTTTATATAACTGCACGGTCACCAATCCACATTCTAAAATATTCTCCGTATGGGTGCATGTAAGGAAGAAGAAGAAAAAAAAAAAGAGTATCAGGAAGCCTTGACGACAACTGTTAAGTGTTTAGGCAAAGGCATGAGTATCATTTTCAACGTACTGTTACAGTAACTCAATTCGTCACTGGGCCTCCAAATTCTACCTATATGATACGGTAATGCTCAACCTTAAAATAACCAGTATAATTGATATACACTAAGTTTCACAGAAGGGTGTCCAAATACTGGCTTATTGTAGTGTAAAGGTGAGGGTATAACTTAGTTCCTTCCACGCCACCAGATGCCTCGATATCAAAGTACGTCTGATCCCCCTTCACAAAAGCAGAGTATATGAAGATAAGCTCCATGTTGTTAGGATATTGGGTTTCTGCAACACAGAGGAATAGTCTTAGAGAAATCCATACAGCATATGGTATAAAACCATACAGCATGTGTCCCCCATCTACTGAAGAATATAATAAGTAATACCATAATATTGGAGAGCTTAAAGCACTTTTTATTTAATCTTGGTGAATGCCCTGACTTTCAACCCTATCACCCTAATTAGACCATGTTGGTCACTCAAAGGCTCCACGACCTTGAACAATTGAACCTTCGGGAAACGATCAAGACATAGTTAACAAAGAAGAAAGTTACTACAAACCTTGAACAGTTATCTACTACCATAGTTTTCAGAATTGAGAGATTGGGCTTCTTGGTTAAATCACAACACTACAAACCCAATACACCATACTCCTGTCCAAAATATTATACCTCCCCAAAATAGTAGGCCACTTTCTAAATCTAGCAAATTGATATTTGAATGTCCACAATGGTAAGGTGAAGCTATAATAAATGATATCAGATCTAAAACAGCCTGTTTCTGTTTTATAGGGACAGTGGGAAAAACTTATATATTCCGCTTCTCTTGTATTTAAAACCTAGTAAAGGATAGTCATGGTAGTGATGTAAAAATAGAATTGGTGAAGAAAAGCAGTGGAATTTTTACTTAAATTCTTAGAACGACTATTAATCAAATGAGGCACATTATTTAGGGACAGTGAGAGTGACTTATTTCAGGTTCTGTTTCTCAGTATAATCATGAAGAAGACCAGCAGAATAACACTCCATAAGTGAATTAACAAAAAGTCAAAAGTCCGAAGCACTGCAATACCTTTGATTTTGGTAAGGAGCTCTTCTTCTGAAACATATGCTTTCTCTAATTCTTTCCCAATCTTCCTTTCCCAAACATCGACCAGTTCGTTCACGAAGTAAACGTTACCTTGTGGTCTCAAATACATCGCCTTATTCAAGGTACGTGGATCATCCACTGCACTAATTGTGAAGGCAGCAACATCAATTTCTTTCACGAACACACCTATACATGAGAGCAAGAAAACAATTACTTCTTGCATTCTCGAAATTCCTAATAACAATATAATACTAAATAATATCAATCTAGACAATCTCTTATGCAGCCTATACAGGATAGACAAAGGAGCTGAACTACAATTTGACAGACCTTTGACATTTCCATCTCCAAAGATTGTAACTTTGTCCCTTGAAAGAGCTTTAATCCCAGGTTGAACCAAAGACGGGAGTAAATAGCTCATGAAGAAGTTGCAACAGATGTATGTGTATGGAATCTCTTCAGCTTCCACAAGCCGCCTTATTTCAGCTTTTCTTGAATAAAAATTGTGGTCCATGCCAGATATTTGCACCATGTCTGGATCTGATCCAAATTCCGAAGGAATGAATCTCTGTGAAATTATAGGACTGTTAAGGATACAACATTGCATATAGAAGCATGATCTGGCATAAAAGTATAAAAATTTAGCACTCTTAGTCCAAGTACACTCTTATTTTTCTGTCACATCATTACTTTAATCACTCCATTGACAAATTGACTACATTTACAGTCCCATGATCATACGATAGTTGCATTGTTCAGACTTCAGAACGATAGCTAAAAACAAATATCATCCTAATTTCTATTTCATTTAGGATGACTCGAACAGCTAGGAGTTTTTTCCTTTAGTTTTCCACTGATTTAGAACAAAGCAACTCGAGTTGAATGGGATATAGTTGATTTATGTATTGGATGGAAATGCAACAAGACTATATTCTGAATTCTAGCAACGTTTTCCATTTCCATGACAAAGAGCAGGACCTCAAGTCATGGTAATATGGTATGTCCTTACGTAATGATTGTAATGCAAAGAATTTTTCAGATTTCCATTTCCATGACAATGAGTAGGCCTCAAGTCATGGTAATATGGTATGTCCCTTACATGATTTACATGATGATTGGCAAGCAAAGAATTTTCACTCAAAAGAGGATAAACTGGGAAATTATATCAAAAAGATCTTGAAACCTTTTAATTTTCAAATAGAGTGAGTAAACTGACATGAAACTCCATTAAGCTCTACCAAGCCGAACTTGATCTAGTTGTAAGCTTCTCATAACTTGAAGTTATTGGACCAGATCCTACTAGCGATACATTAAGGGTAGGGTTTCCTTGCATTGCCCTTGCCCTCAGGTCTGACCTTTAGGGATGCATAAACAGTACAACTCTAACCAAGTCATTTACCTTACCTATCCTAAATAAATCTTCATTGAACTCTAATCACACACAATTCTTCCCTGGAAAATAAATAAGGGATCCAATCATATTAGAAAGTACGTACTAATCAACTCAGATCTACTCTAAGCACAAGATCTGGAGAGTAATAAGGAACGTGTGAGCAAGTGTGTATTAAACAAATAGTGTTCTATTCACCTTTAAAAAATCTTGAAAAGTAAAATTGAGATAAAGGTCAATAAGTTTTATTAAACGCAACCAGGTTCACTTTACAACTTTGACTTCATATAAGTTCAGGTAAGTTCAAAAACTCATCTAAAGTTCGGATGAGGAAATACAAGTGAAATGAACGACAACCTTTGTTACTTTCTTCGGAGTACATCCTAGATTCCTAGTATAACCACTATGCCACCACTGTCATAAATTGCTCACCACAGTCACACACAAACTCAAACAAAGAAATCACACTTATTAAACAAATCCGAAACAAAGATTAAAATAATTGTGATTAAGCATCTAGAAATCAAACTCTACTAATAGCACGTATTCTTATGCAATTTACTATATTTCCTCCACACCTAATCACCTTTTTCTTAATTAATGTAGTTTTGCATGTTTCCATGATCCCAGCAAACCTAATTTAACAATTAAACAAAAGTACAAACAGAACAAAAACTATAATCTACTGTATCACAATATCACACAATAAAATTCAAACTATAAATAATAAATGAAAAATAATTGACCTTTATACAACCAGCAAGTCTAATAGCACGAATCAAACTCTTCTGAGCAAGAACTTGCTTAGATGGAATAGCACAAATTACAACATCCACTTTTTTCACTGCTTCAAGTAAACTCTCCTCATCTTCCAAACAACCCTTCAACAAAAATTATCAAAAATAACTAATTAAATATATAAAAATACCCACAAAAATTAATGAATTACCCCGAAAACCCACAAAAAATTAAGAAGAGGGTAGAAAAAAGACCTTTAAAAGAAGGGCACCAGCATCTGAAAGAATGTGGAGCTTCTGAGATTTAAGAGGGTCGGAAAATGCTGTTTCTCTGATAAGAGCAAATGTAGGGTGGGATGCATCAATACTAGCTTGTGCGATGTGATAACCCAATTTTCCGGTTGCTCCAATTATTAATATTCGGCTTTTCTCCATTTTCCGGTTACCGGAGATTTCATCACACTTTTTGCCTTTTTTTTTTTTCTTAAGTTTTTCGATGTATTTTATTAAAAAAAATTATGGGCGTTTGAGGTTGAGGCTTCTGTAGAGTTATCAAAATTCAGGCCGGGCTTTAACATCAAATATCGTCCAAACCCGTAAAAGTTGTTTTTTTTTTTTTTTTAACTAAAAAGGTGTTTTTTGACTTGCTCAAATCCGTTCTTTCCATACCGGACGTTGGGGAAGGCATAGGGGAAATGTACAATGAACTAATGAAGTAATCTTTAAACCCACATGCTACATGTATGATGCTCGTTGTAAATATGTTACATGTGTTCTGCTCGTATTTTATCGAGCACATGTTCTAAATTGGAGCTCATATCTATGATAAGTTCTAATTAGTCAAAACAAGCTCATATCCATCAATGGTGAACTGGCTGCTCATATATACGAAGTATCTATCAATAATATAGAGACTAGAGATGGATGGAGTAACGCCAAAAGAATAGTGAGAAACATAAATAAATAAATAAATAACTACAGATGGGGGAGTATTAATTTTATTATTGTCATTATTTTCACAATAATGATAGACTAATAAATATTGTTATACTAGGAAAAAAAGTAATTTTACTTTATACATTATTCTTTTTGTTTGTCTTGTTTTATTTTTTACATGGTATTCAATGCAGCACATTTAAGCGTTTACAATTATGTATTATATCTTCAAAGTGAACAAAAATATATAAATAATATTATAAAAAAACAAAAATGGATTATATCATACACTATGGTTTGTTTCAATTAGAGACAAGCTGGTACACAAATAATTCAAAATTTTCTTTATATAAAAAAAAGACCTCTACTCTCTAGCTCCCGTAGTAAGACTCTTCCACCCTACTACCCAATTTTAAACACATTAGACTTCATCCATCACCCATACAAATAACAGAACTTCATCCCAGCCTCCTGCTTCGACTAATCCTAGGATTGATGCCAGTAAGTTCCCCTTCATAACTAAGCTTCGGTCGCTTAACTTCACGCACCTGCCCCTTGCGGCTATTGACCGCTTTTTTATGCTGTAACTGCATAAATTTAAAAAGAGCACATCAGAGAAAGGAAACCAAGCAATCACAGAAGAAACATAATTCACAAGATGAACAAAACAATAGTTCTAATCAAGTACCTTGTACTTCTTCCGTGGATTTTTTATTTGCTTCTTTCGATCACGAGTAAGTCCTCTATTTTTCTCCATCTAAAAGTATATATATAAAAATAAAAATAAATATTAGGACAATCCATAGGAATTTATGAGATTTGCCATACTTTTTACAGGAGAGAGTGAGCTTGTAGTTTACCTGCATGGAAATGTGACGTTTTCCATCAGCAGTAATCTCTAGTTCATATTGATCTTGTGGGTTTCTGAAAGACAGATTATTGTGAGAAACATGCCATGATGCCAATTAGAAAAGTACATGATGTGACAAAAGTTCAGTATCTCACCTTGAAAACTTCGCTGCCTTCAATTTAAGCTTGGCTTCTTTTTGTTTTTTAACTAAATTGTAGAAGTCTGCAAATTCGTTATTATCTTCATCACTATCCCCAGCATCAGCTCCATTTCCAGTTTTGCCACCCAAACTCTCTGGCTCGTTATCAAGTTCAGCATCATCATTATCTTTTGACTTGATTCCGGCTCTAGCCAGAACCCGAAGTTCGTGTTTCCATCTCCTTTCTCCTAGATCATCTCTTTCTGGCAAGTCATCGTCGCCAGAAACACCCTTTCAAAAGTCGCAAGAAAATAACAGTTAATACCAGGTTGCCAGAGAATGTTTTTAGCCAACAGTACATAAGCAGTCTGATTATACAGATATCTAATGTAAAACAAATAAATTCAAATTTCCTGGTGGGGTGGGGGGAGAGAGGGGTGGTGGATCTTCTGACCTGATTAATAGCAAAGAAGATACTAGAAAAACTAGCAATCGCTGGACAATGTAGACATAATGAATAGGATCACAGACAGATGGTGTGATTCAGAGCAAAGGTATCAAGTTTGGTAGTAAATAATATTGAGCAATGAGCTTATTTTACTGTAGTACAAGTTGACTATGTATACCTGTCCAGAAATAAAAGTCACATAGTCCCTCCCACCGCCTCAAATTCAGCATATAAAAGAATTTTACTCAAAGACCCATTATTACATACTTATTGTTTGGCCATTCCCATAGTCTCCTGGTCTCTACATCACTCTATATAGGCAAGGGTATCATGGTAAAAACCAATCACACAGCATAGCTAAAATAATACGCTTACTTCATATGTGATGCTAATATCTCTGGACAAAGTGAAAATGTTTTTTGCAGTGAACAGTCCTTCACAAGCTGTAGCTAGAATGTTGACGCTCTCTTTAAAAAAGTAGAAAAACAAAACTTAAGCCACTATGAAGCTTACAAAGTCTACTCAAAAAAAAAAAAAAAAAAAATACGGGAATGCCAAACCATGCTCTCCAAGGCATGAGAAATTTTAGCATTTATATCAATTTAAGTTATCAAAGTACGGGAATGCTGCTACAAAATCAAACACATTGCAATCGACATATTGACACAGGGATTATTGTCAAAAGAAAAAAGTTAACAATGTACCTTGAGCCTGTTTCCCTTGGCAGGAACGATCTGGGAGAGTTTACTAGAAAGAGTGGAGGCACGCCTACTGCCACGAGTAGCACCCTCCAAAGCCATGACATCATCATCATAATCATCAGTCGTTTCAAGCTTTCTGTTAATTTTACCAATCACACCACAACAAAATCATATATTTAAAATAAAAAAAAAAAAAGGTCCATCTCACATAGCAAATATTCGTGTTAAACTAGCAAAACAAAATATACCCAGGAATTTTCTTTAGTTTCATGTTCTTGCTGTTGTTGGTTTTGGGCACAACAGAATCGGCTCTCTGCTTCAATTGTTTCTGAAGTCCAGCTCGATATTGCAACATTTGCACACTCTCTGAGCTCATTGGCTGTTCCTGCCATACAACACATCATTACTCTTAACTTCTAAAATTAAAATACAGACATGAGAAGCTGCTAGAAGAGATAGAAACAAGAAAACTCTACCTGGTCTTTTATCATCCTAAGCCTTTTCTCATTAACCTCCACAGATTGCTTCTGAACTGGTTCAGCAGCTTCTCTTAACTGCAGTACAGTATAGATATCAGAGATCTTAGCAAACAAGAAAACAATCAAGTTGAGTAATCAAGTTTAAGATAGTGATCACCTTAGATGGTTTTTGTTTCTCAATTGATGACCCTGTGAGCTCATCAAGTTTAGCAAAAAGATCAGACGATAATTCATGTCCTTTCACGACTGGCTTCTGAGCACTTGCAATATGACTTGTTTGGACCAACACATCCTCAAGGTTGTCTGGAATATGCACATCAAGTTCTTTCATCTAAACAAGAACAAGAGAGTGAAATGAAAATTAGATTTTCAAGAACTAGGTTTCAGAGCACAAATAAAAAGATGGAAATGAATCAGATAATTGATATTTAGCAGTTACACTAGGCAAAAAGCATGATGCAGTTACTCTAGGCAACATAAACACAAACAAACATAACCATAAATGTTGGTCAGGATTTCTGTATTGCAAGCAAAATAGAATCCACAAAAGGGAGAATTAATGAATTGATGGTACATCATGGATCATTTTTTGTATATTAGCAATGAAGCAGGTTTCTGCACCTTGCTGCAGAACGATTATGAGCTAAGGTTCGGCATAGAAAACCAGCAAGGGAGAAAAGTAAGCCCAAGACAGCCAAAAGCATATAATTTTAGCAAGCAATGGCAGACACCACTACAATAGAAATAAAGGCAACTATCAAGACATGGAAGATAATGGAAGGAGGATAACTATGTGATGAACCCACCAAGTGAGCACCCTATGGCTGTGTACACAAGGAGGAAACGACCAGCAGGGGGCCAGGTGACAGCAGCAAGACAATGGTGAAGCACCTTTGGAAGAAGCAGACAAAACTAATTAAAGATACACTAAGTGGTGTGGTAGCATCGCAAGGAGAGGGCAACTGCAGTAACAGAAGAAGACAAGCAGTAATTAAAGCTAGAGTGTACTTTGAGTAGCTTGATTGTATATATAAGAAATGAGTAGCATTAGTAGCAGTTGTGCAATTTGAAATTTGAATATCAAGAACCTTGTTTAGAGATTTGCAGCCTAAAGTTGCTAAGGAGAGTGATAAACTAAAGCTATCAAATCTATCTTTGTTCTTCCATCAATGAAACAGTAACTTGGGTGCTATTTCTGTTTATTATTTGTCTGCCATAGTCAGTTCATATCAAACTAATTTAGTTCAGACACGTGAAGTGTAGAGGAATCATAGCAGAGGTATAACAGTAGAACTGTAGAAGGATGGGATAGTTGGTCAACAGATCAAGGCCTCACAAAATCTCTGCAGACAGAGTTAATAGGGAAAGAGATACAAGTAGCTCACTCCAAACATGCACGCTAAGTTTAGATATAGTAGGAAAAAAATTTACAACCACCCTGTAATATCTCATCAAGATGAGCCTATCTAAATGATGACCTAAACTCTCCCAGACCAAAACTGTCTTGGAAAATGTGAAACCCCAACATCTAAATGCCATATATATTGCGCAAGCATCCTCAAAGAGAGCAAAAGGTTAAGGGAAAAAGACCAGCTAACTCAACAGCTCATCAAGCAATTCTCCATATTCTGGAGTTACACAAAATAAAATAAAATAAAATAAACAATAGGAAAGAAAAGAAAAAAAAAAAAAAAAAAACCTTTTCCAACAAGTTTTTGATCTCCACAAGGCGGGCTATAACTGGATGATCACGAATAGGCTGCCCTTCAGATTTCAGAAGAAGGTAAAAGGTAATAGCTTGGCAATAAGCAAGCAACAGGAGTTGTTTCACTTCCAGATAATGTAATCCTTCTTTCTTCGCATTCTCCCCCTTCCTAACCTGTGAGCAACAAAAAAGGCTCAATGTATGGTGAATGGCATGTTGAAATTTTAGAAGGACTAGTCGGCAGTCAGTCAGATAGGAGGTGGGCATCAACTTAACACTAGTGAAACCAAATACGTAGTACTTATTACAGTTAATTATACATTCCTATGATTCACAGCTGTTACAAAAATGATTCCAGATAATTAGTCATCAATTAAACTCCATGCTTCCTAGCCGGGATTAAAAAAGAAAAAAAAAATTACAAGTACAAAGGCATCAAGCGTACCAAGCTAAAAGACATCGCAGATTACATGAAGAAAATCAACATACATTTTAAAATTATATGAAAAGAAAATATATACCTTAGACAGAAGGGGATTAACATGGGTCTCGAGTTGCTTGGTTGCATCATTTAACTCAGCAAGCAATCCAACTAATTCTGGAGCCGAACTGCAGCAGAAAGAACAGTAAGCGCAATAAACATCAGTTGAGCTTGGGTCAGTCAAATTCATTTAGTGCCTTAGTTAAATTAAAGTCATTTCAAATACATGACCATTTGCATTTGAAGTAAACACCAAGTTATGGAAACCAGGAATAGAGTTCTCAAAGCTGCCAGAAACAGTGATTATTTGCGTTCCCTATACAATACCCAACCAAACATTACTTAGTCTATATATCTCAAAATTCAATTTTTTTTCTTAACTATTGAACTCATCCAATATCTCATATCATGTGTATAATACTCAATGAAACACGTGTAATATCTCTAAAACCTGTACTCTACAGTCTAGACAGCTAGTCATGCATCACCCGAACAAAGAATTTTAACTCTGAAAATTCATTCTCTCATTTATGCATTATGATCATGTTATGCACACGAAGCTAAGGGTTTTATAATACTACATTATGCAGTGAAAATGTAAGGCAAATATAATTTCATAGCTCCAAATATAAAGCACTAATGCTCCAAGTATAACATGAGCACCTAGCAATTCCACAGTAACATACTTTTTACAATTTATACCTGATATTATAGAAGTGGATTAATGCATGCAGAATTTTGGAATTCATAGGTGTACAAGAGAGTTAACATGACAATTTCAAAATTCCAGTGTAAAGACATATGCTTGAAAATGAAGTACTTACCTATATACAACATCCATTTGCTCATCCCTTGATAATGCATTCAAATCTTTCTTCACCTCTTCAAACATCAGGGCAGCATCGACTTCAGCTTCTTTATTACCTGAAGATTTTGACTTAGTCTTTCCTTTGACCATCATTTCCTAAAATTATAAAAAGTATAGAATATATACACACCAAGAGACTCCAACAATTGTCAACATCCAAATTTACAGCATCGGTTTCTTTATCATCAAAAGTGGGAAATAGTTGACAGCTTTATAGCCAATAATTACCTCTAGAGTCGGCTCTTGATCACTGTCATCTTGCTCATCACCCTGGAGGCCAAAATCCTCAGCCCTCAAGGACTCTGCCCTTTCTTTCTGCATTTTTATCACCTCTTCCTCTTCCTCTGCAGGGGTATCCTCACCACTTGATTGTGACTAAGATATGAACAAAGACATGATCAACAGGTTTGATAAACATCTTATGGGAGTATCTTGTTGTTAAACTCCAGAAACTGATTTTTCATTTATCAGCACATGGTTCTTTACTACAATTACATCTACAGCTTCTATCTGATTGATACAACAGCTCATTAATGAGTTACCTCATAATCGGTATTTTCACCACCATAGTGGATGCCCTTTTTACTGGACCACACTTTTGGTATCTTCTCATCCTCCTCGGCATCATCATCCACCTCATCATCAACACCACCAGTCTTTTCTCGCATAAATTTCTGCTGCCTTGCCACTGAGAATAATTCACCGTACACCAAGTAATAAGATATGGCACCAAACATAGCTTAAAACATACTAACATAACAGAGAAAGAATATGGGATGGACAACAGGAAGTACACACGTATACAACAGTTAACAACAGAAGAAAAAAAATGCAGCCAAAATGATTCCTTCAGATTAGAAAAATATATTAGAATGGATCTTCTCTGACCAATAAGTTGATGCTACACCAATGGAACATTATGATATGAAATACAAAACTCAAAAGTTTCGTGTAGATACTATCGTAAATCCTGATTTTCCAACAGGACAAGGTGGCATGACCTGGAGGATGTATCCAACCTTCCTGAAGCTGTGTAACATATATGGAGTATGAGATACCTATAGTCTTGCCAACATAAAAGGTAGCAAATTTCTCATATCTCATGTGAAATGTCTATGCTTACTAGAGTATGGCAACAATACTTGGGAAATTACAAGACACTCATCTAATCATATACACAAACAAAATGCCTTATGAAGACACAATAGAGCATCATCCATCCCACAACACTTGGAAGGACCCTTGTCCTCTAACACTGAACATTATTGAAGCGTACTGATAAAAAGAAACAATAAAAGAACTACTCAAGATTAAATAACGCCAATCACATAATCAGTCAATGTAACTAAACACACACACACACACACACACACACACCAACACTCCCAACTTCCCACAAAAGATGGATTTGCTTTAAATTTCACCAAAAATGAGTTTCTAATCATAACCTTGGAATTACATACCAGTAAACAATCCTCATCCCAACAAATACATACAACAACACCAAATTACATCTTACATTTTGCAGCAAAGCCTGTCAAGTTGCTGTCATCTTCATCGTCGTCATCATCATCATCATACTCATCGTCATCCTTATCTTCATCCTCATCGTCATCCTCATCCCCATCAATACCCTAGAATAAAGCATTGAGAAGACAAATTCAAGTAAGACTCGATTACTATAACAACCAGCAGCAACTTAAGTCTCTTTTTAACACTTAAGTTTCAACAGAATCACCATAACTCCATAAGAAGCAATAACATTAACAATTAACAATCAAAGAAAAGTTCATGCTTTTCAGCTAACATACCAAAAATAACCAAAGTAAAACATAACATAGCATTTATTCAATTAAATCATACACACAAATATAAGAAGCAAACCTCATAATCAAAAACAGGCAATTCTTCATCATCTTCATCAGAATCAACATTATCATCGTTAATATCCAATGGAATTATATCCCTCTTCTTATGAACTGCAATTAACACAGTTATTCATCAATACCCACATCCCATTTATCTATTTCTCTTCAAAAGAAAAAAAATACTAATTATCCAACAAAATTAAAAGAGCATTAATTTAGTGCATGAAATAATAATAAAATTAAAAGAAAGAAAATATTACAGACATCAATTTCATCCTCCATATCGTTTACATCCTTATTATTATGCAGCTTAGTTTTCTTCAAAATTTGAGGGCTTTTCTTCTGATTCTTCCCACGCTTCCCCATTTTCTGAGGAAAATAATGCAAAACCCCCAATTAAATAAAAATTAATTAAACCCCTGAAAAATCAAAACAAAAAATTAGCAAAAAAAAGAAATAAATGGAAGGAAGATTAAATAGTGCACGTAGTATGAATTTGAAATTGATAAATTTTCGAGTCTAATGTACGAACTTTCGATCAGTTGCGGCGAAGCAGAGCAGGGCAGAGGGGTTTTAGGGGCGGCAAACTGCGGAGGGGTTTTGTGTCTCTCTAATTGACGAATAGTACTAGTATGCCTATATTGAGTAATTGATAATAATAATAATGAGGCGTTTGGTTCGCGAAGGGTAAACGGAATGGAATTTCGAAGGGTAACAAGGAGAAAGGTAAGGAATGAGGAATGGAATCCCGAAATGGAAAACAAAAAGTTAATTAATTTTACATCTTTCATTAAGTGCAAAACTAAACGTCGTCCTCATTTTACATACTAAACCCGTATTTTGACTTAAACAGACTATTTCCCCCCCCCCCTCTTTTTCTCACTCTCATCCATTGAATCAGCTACTCTGTTTCCTCCATTAAAAGTGGGATGGCTTAGGAACTTTCTCCTAAAATTGGTAATACACACAATACATCGGACACACAATCAATCCAATACACTAATTTTATTTATATGAATGACATTTGCAAACAACTTAAATTGCTGATTTTTCACATATACAAGATTACAAGTATGTAATTGTAAAAAAGACCTTAATAAACCATAAAATTGAAAATAATTTAAATGGGATTAAAATTACCACCTCTTCACAGAGACGTTTAATGGGGTAGCGAAAATCAAAGAAAGAAGGTGGTCGGAAAACACCTGGAAATATCGTAACCCGCGGGTGGAAACGCCTGAATTTTTTGTTCCCACCAACGGGTTACGATATCTTTAGGCGTTTTGTTGGAAACAACTGAAGTTTTCAAAACCTACAGGTGGGAACGAAAAATTCAGGCGTTTTCACCTACGGCCCTACGGGATACGATTTATTTAGGCGTTTCCTCTAAAAAAAAAAAAAAAAAAAAAAAAAAAAAGAAAAAAAGAAAAAAAAAAAAACCCTTAAAGCCGGTGACGGTGGTGCCGTGGTGGTGGGCCTAATGAGGGCGATGTTTAACAACACCCATCATGAATTAAAAAAAAATATGATTTTTTTATTGTAAAAAATAAAAATAAAATACCTTCTCGACAGCCAACACCACCACCAAGGCGTGGAATGAGATCAAAGGAATGATTTGTTACCAAAAAATGCAAGGGGTAGAGAGTTTTGCTTCAGAAGGTTGAATGAGGAGGGAGAATACGGGTTGGATTTTAGTTTTGCGACGGCGGAGAAACATGGGGCAGGTGGAAGAGGTTTTGGCCTTTCAGTGCTGCTGGAGGGTGCGCGGGGGTTAGGGTTTCGGGCTGAGGGGTGGGAATTGGTTGTTTGGGCTGGTGGGGGTTGTGTGGGGTGTTTCAGGCTGGTGGGGGTTGCGGTAGGTGGTAGCTGGGCGAGTGGTGGCCCGTGATGGGTAAGGAGTTGATAGGATGGGTGTTTGTTTTTATTTTTTATTTATTTAATTTTTTTCCCCTTAATTAAGACCTGTTTTTCAATAAAAAAAAATTGTAAAATCATTTTTAAAAATTCAACCAATTACAATGCATCACGTGTCATTATTAACTTATCAATCAGGTTACCTTCTATTTTGAGAAAATTCCTTTCAAAAGTCGTACTATTATTTTGAGATAATCAAAAAGCCATTTTATTTTTGAAAAATTGGACAAAGGTCTTGTTATTCTTGACAATTTTTCCTAATACGGAGCACTAATAATGATACCCCTTATAAACTTTTTTATACTCCCTATGTACGCGGTATATGTTTAAGACTTGTAGTTGCATCACTTTACCATTTATATACCAAGCAAGTTTGGTGGGGCTCGAACTTGTGACGAGGTAAGGGTATTCCCTTACCTTCCCCTCTACTTTCAAGCATTGAAATGTGGAGTTGGGTTGTTTAATCTTACCTTTAAAATAATAATAATAATAATGATTACCATTTCTATTTTGATATTATAAAAATACGCATTGTAACTAATTCAATCAAAATTTATACTTCGTATAGTAACATTTGGTTTTTATATACTTTGTATTACTCCCTCTATTTCATAATTAATATTACGTACAAAGTAATTGATAATTATTTATATATTAACTTGATTATTTTTTGTTTTTTGAACGACATATATGAACTTGATTATGATTTTTTATTAGCATAATATAAAAAAATGATCATGTCTAATATCTATATTATATATTAAAAGGCGTTCCTAAAGAAGATTAGGTGTCACGTGGCACCTTCCTTAAATTCACGTGTTTAAAAATATAGCTTGTATAAGATTTGAACCCACTATCTTAAGTTTTAAAAGTATAGGGTTAGCCATTGAGTTATTACCATATTATAAATCATTCTATTAAAATTAAGGGGTCGTTTGGTTAGGGGTATTTAACAAAGGGAATGGAAATCGACGGGAATCATTCCCTTTGTTGTTGTTTGTTAGGCCACTTTTTCATTTCCCCTTTCCCCCTTCATTCCCCCAAATCCCTCCAAGTTCATTCCCCACCCCCCCCCAAGGTATTTCCATTCCATTCCTTGGCCACCACCACACCACCATACCACCACCCTCCTACCTACCTACATCACCAGAAAACTGCACCACCGCACCACCGCCTACCCTTTGCCGCACCTCCCCCACCCCTCGCAGGCCATCCCTTCAACTCCACCACCCCTCGCCGGCCATCCCCTCAACTCCCTCGAAAAAAATCCCTAATCCTGGCCATCCCCACGTCGCACCAGTCACCGCCCTTCCCTAACCCTTCGCCGCCCCCTGAAACTACCTTCCCTCCCCGGAAAACCTTCCCCACACCCACGCATAGCCCTTGAAAACGCCACCCCCTCTCCTCGAAAATGCCACTCCGACCCTAGAAACCCTTCTAAGTCGACCACCGTGTAATTGGAGGGGTTAGGTCTGAGCGGCGAGGGGTTAGGGATGGGCGGCGAGGGGTAGGGATGGGGGTTAGGGTTTCGTCCAGCCACCACAACCTTCGAAAATGCGGTGAGGGTGTGTGGTTGTGGTGGTGGTGAATCTAGTGATTCCCATTGTTTTTTTACAACCAAACAACATACTACATTTAAGGGATTTTCATTCCGTTCCATTTCATTCCCTTTGTTCATTCCATTCCGTTTACCCCGTGCAAACCAAACGGCCCCTAAATATAATTAAGGATTTCAATCATGGAATTAATACAGTAGCCCGGGGCATCGCCCAGGCCAAAAAATAAGTTGTTGATTAAATATATTGATCAATATAAAGTGAATATATTGGCAGCAATCATATATGACTGTCGAGACTCTAAATTTATTTTTATAACTTCACCTCTAATCGTGTCAAAGGACGATGTAGTTCGATGATCAATTAATCATGTACTAGTAGAAAAAATGAATAAAGCACCGCACTTTTCGCACCGGTTCTTGAAAACCGGTGGTAAAAGAAAAGGGCGAAATTAGGGAAAAGACTTTTCGCACCGGTTTAATCAAACCGGTGGGGAAAGAAACTTTTCGCACCGGTTCGAACCGGTGCGAAAGCAATTGTTAAATAAAATAAAAAACCGGTCTCCAATATCTTACTTTTCCTCTTCCGTAGTTCCTCACTCCTTATTTCATCTCAAACCCCTGTATAATCTCAAACCCTACTCCGCTTTTCTCTTTCATCTCAATCCCCTCTATAATCTCCTTTTCTCTCCTCTCCCCGTCCTCAGATTTTTGTGGTGGGATTTCGATTCGTTTCCTTGGTGGTGGTAAGTTGGGGTTTCAGATCTAAATTAGCGGTGGTTTGTTGGGGTTTCGTTTTGTTGGAGGTGGTAACAAGGTGGTTGTTTTGGTTCGCTTGTGGTCGTGCGAGTTGGTTGGGTGGGTTCCTTGGTGGTCGTCTGGTCGGTGGTGGTCGTGCGAGTTAGTTGGGGTTTCGGTTTGTTGGAGGTGGTAAGGTGGTCGGCTGGTCGCTGGTGGACGTGCGAGTTGGTTGGGTGGGTTTGTTGGTGGTCGTTGGTGACGTGGGGCTTTAATTGGTGGTGGTGCGAGTTGGTTGGGTGGATTTTGGGTGGTTGTGGTGGGGTTTCAGATATTCATGGCGGTGAGAGGGTGGTTACAAGGTGGGTGCTGGTGGGGAAAAAGGACTTTTCGCACCGGTTTTCCCTAAGAACCGGTGCGAAAAGTCCTTTTGCCCACCGGTTTTGAACCGGTGCGAAATCTATGGGGTTTTAGCACCCCCCAAATACAACCCGGTTCAAAACCGGTGGGAAAGGGGGGGTTTGAACTGGTAGGGAATTCGTTTTTTTGCATAGTGATGTGACCTAATATTTTTCAAAACAAATTTCTTAGTCCTTTAAATTAAGCCTCATAATAAAAGCTGGCTTACACCTTTTTTTTTTATTTCCAATGAAAGTAAGGAAAAAAACATTAGGAAACCCTCATTACAAAGAAAATTCGTTGCTAATACATTAAAAGAGAAGATGGAAACAAGAGTAATAAATGAAAGATGCGATTAGAAAATAAAATTCAACTTAATAAATATGAAGTACTCTGTAGCAATCAACATAGATAAACAATGATATTATATTACATCGTATATATATACAATAAAAATTAATAAGATATACTTAGTATATACTCCATATTAAAATGCGACCTAATTAATTAATTTCTATTTGAATGGTGCTTCATAGAATGAGCAGAAAAGCCTTTCTTAAACTTGGTTGGTGCAGGTCTAATCCAGGCTCTTCCACCAATCATGTCCTTGCTTAGGAATGGTGCAGCTTCATTGTTAGTGAGACTCTTCGACCATGAAACCCTCATTGCTCTATTAGACCCTGGTCCATAGCATTTGTATTCTCCATACACCACATTACTACAACACAACATAAAATACCAAGAGTCCAAGACATTATTATCATTATTATTATCCAATCAAAGCTTATGCAAAGTCACAAAAGAGGGCGAAGGAATAAAAGAAATCTCAGCTCCATGCCACTACACAAGTTATTTTAATTCTTCTCATTTTATATTTGTTTGTTCATTTCAAAATCAAATGAACATAAAAAAAAACACTCTTAACTAGGTGCATGTCGTGTACCTAGGCGTATATAAAAAGGTTAGGAATAAATTCAAGTGGGTCAATGGTTGATTTGAATTGATTAGCAACCTCAAAGTTACACTAAAGTACTAAACTAAGCCACTTAAGATTGTAGGAAAAATTACTTATGCCTTATTAATTGTGATATGATATCTCCATATTATTTGCACGAATTGAAATTAAAAAAAAAAAAAAAAAAAAAACTTTAAATTTAAATAGTACTCTATATATATGCATATATATAGTTATATACCTCTCCTTTTTGGGATCATTCCAGTTATTCCATCCTTCAGGCGAAACTACATTAGATAAGTAACTTAGTGTATAAATAACCCTCGAATGTGCTCCCCATGGCCTTCCAAGGTCAGCTGTTCCAACCCCTTTGCCGGTGATTTTGCATCCCAGGAAGATATAACCAGTATTCTCCCACGGTGTCTCCCTCCTTTGGGCAGTAATAGCTCCGTTTTCGGCTGTTAGCACCGAATGTATATGACATTTCTATAAAATTCATAAAAAAATACGAACAATAATTAGAAAACACTGGTGCAAATTGATAATATAAATAAACATTCTCCATCTCTCCATTTTTATTTATTTTGTTACAATGCGATAATATAGTACTTCATATTATAAAGATCTTGTTATCTTCAACTTATATAAGAAATCAACTTTGATAAACTACGACAAATAGTTTAATTTAATTGAAACAAATGACCAAAGTTTCGAAGGAATTGAATTGAAGCTTACCTCAAAGAGAGAAGCAGCGTTACCACAAATGAAATCAGTGGCTCCTTCAATGTAACAATTTTTGTAATAGTGTCTTCCAACATCATCAAGGAGAGTATCCTGGTATGAAATCATCCTACAGCCATAGAAAGCTGCCTTATCCCCTGCCACTCTCAAAGCAACCCCCTTCCCTCTTGCCCCATACGTATTCTGCACGTACATATTCGAGAGAAAGTTTAATTTAGTACTCGTACTAATTATTATAATAAAAAGTATAGAGCATCCTAAACATAAACTTTTACGGAGTACACATGTTAATGCTTAGGATATCATAGAACATATACTTGTACATGATTAATAATACTACAGAGTTAAAAGACGGTTCTTTTTAGGGAAAATTCTTGTGAGCGAGAGTATACTTGGAAGAAAATTATTTATCTTTCATCACATGCAACATACACTAGAGCTTTTATTTGTGTGCTCGATTGCTCGAACGTTGTGTGGCATGTATACTAGTACTTGTAAAATGTATATATGACATAAAGTATAGAAATTTGCATAAGACTATAGTATAGAAATAAACTTGCCTCGAATGTAAGGTATCGCCCCACAAAATTAGAAGCCAAGACAGAGACAGTAGGGGAATCATAAATGTGATCACCATCAGCCCAAGTTATTATGGTGTCCTTTGCTTGCTTTCCACTTAGAGTTATGTAGGGCTTATCAGCTGGCACAACAATCTTTTCACTGCAACAAGGATTTGCAATAATAATAATCATGCAAACATCCAAAACATAATTAAGCCTCAAATTAAACATGCAACCTCACACCAACCAAATTAAAATTATTACTTGAATTAATTTAATATAAGAGAAAATAATACAATTATTAGGGTTGAGCAAAACTATCTGAAAATCCGATCCATATTCAATCCGAAAATTATGGATAATCGATCCGAAATCAATTTCGGATCGGATATTTGATCCGAAAAACTTGGATATCGGATCGGATATCGGATATTGAAATATTGAATTTCGGATATCCGATATCTGAAAAAAATCGGATTTCGGTTATCGGATATCCGATCCGATATCCGGAAAAATACCCGAAACCAGCAAACCTTAAATACTTGCAAAGTCCCAAATACCCCCAAAGGCCCAAATAACTAAACCAGCAAACCCTAACTCATTTCCTCAAAATACAACTCTTAACCCACCGCCCCTCTCTCCCTATCTTCTCTCTCCTCTCTCCTCTCTGTCGTCCTCAGCGTTCCCTTCATCCTCACCGCCCCCTTCAATATCTTCTTTCTCCTCTCTCTTCTCTGTCATGCTCCATTCTCCTCCTTCAATATATGTGACCCCACCGCCCACCTGACCGACTTCCTCCTTCGACTCTCACGGCTGGTTCACCAGCGGTCCTCGCAACACCCTCTTCCAACCACCGTCATCAACAACCGCAACCATACACATTATCGCTAGCTCGACCTTCAAACCCGCAACACCAACAATGGCTTTTCTTCTCAATCACAATTAAATTTTCTTTGTTTTGTTTTTTGAGACAATTAGTTTACAGATTTGTGTCAAATTTCTTTATTTTGTACTTGGGTTTGTGTAAAATTTCTTTTCTTGTAATTTGCAAAAATTATTTGTTGGATATTTTTTAAATTCTAGTCTATTTAATATTCTATATTCTTCTGATTCAAGTAGCAATGAATTAAGTTTTTTAGTGAATTGATGTAGTATTAATTTTCTTGCTCAAGTTCAATTCAGCGAATATATCAATGAAAAAAAATTAATTTACCATTAAATAGGTTCGGATATTGGATACGAATATCAGATATGGGAATTTTCGGATACGGATATCCAATCCGAAACCCAATTTTGAATCAAATATCCGATCCATGCTCACCCCTAACAGTTATAGTATCCTCCTAGAGCTATTCAATTCCTACGAAATCAAATGCGTTTTGGAAATAACTCATATTTTTCACATCTAGCTAGTAGTCATTAGTGAATTAATAATATAGTGTTCGGTCTAAAAAAAATTAAAAATTGTGTAATTATAAAAATCGATCCTAGGAAGAAAGTAGATGTTCCAAAAAAATCTCTCCATGATCGATCCAATATTCATTACCACTCAATATACTCCGTATAATCGTATATCCCTGTGGAAAGTAATAAGTACCTAGAGTACTTATTATGGAGTAATTATAATAAAACACACATATTAATCATTATCATGTCATGTATCAGAAAATATATCATCTATTTAAATTTTTTTTTGAATTGCTACCCCTTCTAATATTAGGCGATATAGATTTAATTGTGTGTTACTCTAAGAACACTAATTACTAGTTAGGTGCTTAGGTCTAAATGAGTTGATCGTATTTCTATATAGCCTAGTCTTCTAGCCCGTGCAATGCACGACTTATTCATAGGTACTTGGACAAAAAACCCGTACCCCAAAAGAGATAAATTTTATTTTTGGTACGGATTTTTGTCGGTAAAAAAAAATCCAAATAGAATAAATGGATTCAAATGGAATTTTCTGAACTATATCAATAACCTAGACCCATACTGCGAGTGGTTTCATGCCATAGATAAACTCGAACACTTAAAAAATCCGTTGGACAAGCGGATTCACATCTCTTACAACCAACACAATCTTCTGTTCTTGGAGCTGAAGTTATTTGTTTCGCTTTACATCCATCCCAAGGTATCATTTCTAATACATCTGTGGGACAACCTCGGACACATTGAGTACACCCTATACATGTATCATAAATTTTAAATAACTTTTAAGAGATATTAAGTTGGAGGAGAATGAACTAAACAACATTAATATGTATTGACTTGAGGCTATTTTTTTATTTTTTTATTATATGTTAGAAAGGGGATTAAAAGGATAGGTTTTTTTTTTTGTTCAAAAAAAAAAAGGATAGGTTTTTTATTTTTATTTTTTATATATGTTAGAAAGGGGATTAAATGGATAGGTTTTTTTTTTTTTTTTTTTTTGTTTCAAAAAAAAAAAAAAAAGGATAGGTTTTTTATTTTTATTTTTTATTATATGTTAGAAAGGGGATTAAAAGAATAGGTTAAATAAGGTGACATGTGGCATTATTCAACAAAAAAAAAAGGTGATATGTGACAATGAATGTATGATGGTTTGTGTTTTTAAATGTTAGGTATAGATGTGATAAACAGAACAAAAAAAAGTCAAATGAGTTATGCGTGGCCCTACGTAGTAGGGCTGTAGGCCAGGGGTTTTGATTTTTGGATTATATATCATAAGACCTAATTAAGAGTAAGCATTTTATGAAGTCTTAAAAATGGCTATTGTACTCCTTTTGTCCCTTTTTTTTTGCCCCATTTGATTTTGCATGGTCTTTAAGACGTGTCTTTAAACGTATATATCCGTAAAAATTATAAAAACTTAATATTAATAAAATATACAATGAGACGATTCTAACAAGATTCACATGAATATTTTATCACTTATATATTAACAAGAATTCATGGTCAAAGTTTTAAAAGTTTGACCAATATATCTGTAATGGGGCAAAAAATAAGGGATGGAGGGAGTATTATTTAGAATGAATATCCTTTAACTTAAAAAACATTCACATTTCTAAATTCTTGTACTCGTCGTACACCATGTATATAGAATCAATGAATCTTGCATGCATGCAATCAAACTTAGCTTGCAAATAAAAATTACCTATAATTTCCGGGCTTAACCCAAATATAAACAAACTCAGTATTATTAGAAGGCACAGCATCAATTGCATCTTGTATCTTCTTATAGTCACCGTGACCGGATTGATCGACTCTAATAAGGACCGCCACGGACGGGTCCGTGGGAGCAGCCGAAGACGAGGAGGAAGCCATAAGTGTGGATAAAATGAAGAAGAGTACAATATTTTCAAACAAGTGAACAATGTAGTTGTAGTAGTAACGATGATTATGATAGTATCGAAGATGTTTAATATAAAGGCCACAACCTCCTCCCATGCATGTGCGCATGTGATTGGTTTCTTGCAAACAAAATTCTCCTTACTCGATGGAAGTGCAAAAGGGTTAGAGTTGAAGAACAAAGCTAAGGAAGTATGGTATGTGCAATTAATTCTCTCAATTATTATTGCTCAAGATTATTAAGCAAAAGGTACGTGTTTGTGAAAGTATTTATTATACATGTTTTTTAGAGTATATTAATTTGTACGTATAATATAAGGTTTTGACGAATTATCTGTATATGTGATGATTGCTGACTTTTTATGTAATGGTTATTATTATATGATCTTCATGTAGTTAGCCGATTTCTTACCAACAACGTACAAGCATGCATATATGGTAGCTTTAATTTCTACGTTTTTGTGTCATCACTCATGATTAGAATTTTATAACTTCTTGGCATAATTAGCTAGTAATGTATGTGCTATCATGGCTGCTTAAATAGTTGAACCAACTCATCTATTAGTCTATTACAACTTTTGCAAGTTAATCCGTACTAGAAGTTACTACTCCATGCCATAAATTTTCGAGTTAGGTTTTTCACCCATTAATTCACAATATAAACGCAAATAATTACGTACTCTTTTAGTTCTTTTGTTCTCCAACTTACGACTTTTAACATTTTCGTTTTCTATTGTCATCATTCACAATATACAATAACTCAAACATGAAGTAGATTAGGAAAATGTTCATAATTGTAAGGGAATTGAATCGAAAAAGTATTAAATTGATGTGATGATGTTATTAATACAAATAATTTGCATTATGTAACAATAAAATCCAAATATAGTATGAGAACTTATGCACTTTAATTTATAGTAAATCTTATTGAATTGTTATTTACATGGCAATGTACGTATCATCATATTGGAAAGAAAAAAAGAATTTCAAAAAAAGCTAACAAAATTGTATTGATCAATTCAATGAAATCTAGAAGCATTGATATATATGTTTTGACTTCAGATTCAAATGGTTAAAATGAAGAGTAGATTAACTTCCAAGTCACTAAGATGAGATATAAAAAATACTTAACTGACTTGGTCCTTTCTAAACGAAATGAAGTTAATTAATGATTACACTTTATTTTAGTATACCAATTTTATTTTATTTTTAATTTTTTTTTTTTCATATTATATAATGTCGTACATAAATTGGTGAGGTAGAGGAAAAAGGGATAGAAGATATTGCTGCAATCCAAAGAAGCTATTATATTGGATGTTTTGATTAATGTTCAAGCTTTATAAATATTTTAATATAATAAGTTGATGATTAAATTACAACTGTTAATTAAAGTCTTCTATATGACAGGAATACTGGCGGTCATTATGAGTTGAAGATAATTTACAGGTTATAATCCCAGATTTTGCGTTTGACATTCTTACTAGAATTTTGAGTAAACTGAACTCTAATACTTGTCAAAGTATTTGGTTCTTAATTCTTAGCCGATAATTATTGATAAACAATAGACGTGTGTTTGATATGGCGCAGTCTTTCTTTATGACACGCATAAACGGTGAGATGGTTTAACTACGTAAACCATTGCAAAATTTGACTTTCTTACATTTGAAAATGTCATAACAATTGGCAGTTACCAATGATGAATAAGTACATTAGGTGATTTTTGGTCAACATGTGCATACCTTATGATGGCGTTATTCCATCCCTACTCCATATCTTGGCAAGTTGGTGTAACTTGTTCAATCTACGTGTGAATTGCTACACATAAAAAAACAAAGAATAGATTTTTATCATAAGAGATGATGATGAATTAGTTCATATTGAATAAGAAAAAGTTTCATTGAATATGATTAATCCAATATTTCAAGTTCTTAAACATGCTTCCTAACATTATTTTAATTATTAATTAGTTAACATCTATTTAATAATAAAAATAAAAAACTAATTAATTACCTTTCACATGGATAGGAATTAACTACTACGTAGCACGTACTATACAAGTATGTAAAGGGTATATGTATATTGTGTGATACCAATACTATCTTATTTGATTAAAGTTTTGCAATTGGTGTCAAAAGAGTTTATTTGGAATCAAATCATCTATATTTGACCATCAATTTTCCATGTCGACCTAACATAAAGGACACGTTTGATTTGAGCACAAAGTCCTCTTTTGGTGATTTGGTCATCAGGATAAACCGATAAATATTATATGAGTACGTATTTTTTTTGAGAGGTATTATATGAGTACGTATATCATGAATCATCATGCAGTGTTACATAAGCGGTGAAAATTCAAAGAGACAAAGAAAAGACAACGAATAGTTATCCCACCAAATTTCAATTCCATCCATTCATCACAGATGTAAGTGGTACAAATGAGGAAGGATACCTAATTTAGCTTCTAAAAGTTTCCAAAAAACATTCTAATACAAAGTATAATAATTTATGAGTAGGTTTTAAGGAGAAAGCTCCAAAGAAAAAAAAAAAACCTTGATAAAATACCCACCTCAACAACCTTCCTAAAAAACAAGATATTGTGTGCATTAGTATTATCACATTCTAGTACTAATACTAAAGTCCAAAGAATTGAGGTGTAATTTTGTATACATCTATGTAAAAAAAAAAAAAAAAAAATAATAAAATAAAATTGTATACATCAATTTATCTATCTATCTATATATATACTAAAATAAAGGGCGCCTAGATGCAAAAATGACATATGTCACTCTGTCAATTAATATTTTCCCGCCCATTTACAAACTCTTAAATAAAGAAATTTTTATAATATCTTTTAATTATTATTGCAATATTTCATTTTATTATTGATTTTTATCTAAGATAATATCTTTCACATCTTTTGACTCATTTCGGTAAGTACGATTATATCTAATTAAAAAAAATCTACGCCTTTTTATTCTTTCTTTTTTTAAAATTTAATTTAATTTAATTTAATCATTTAATTTTTATCAAATCTTCAAATATTATAATATACAAAGTACTTTGTAAAATATTTTCTTTAAGTAGAAATTATTATAATATACAAAGTACTTTGTAAAAAATCTACGCCATTTTGAAAATTACGTTTAATAATCTCCTACTTAGTATATATGAATCATAATGTACTTTAGACTTTTATTAGTACTTTAGACTTTTATTAGTATCTTGAAACACACATCATGTATAATATAACCTGGTCACTTAAAAATAATCTCCTACTTAGTCCTACTGGTCACTTTGATATAGCTGTTTAAAAACCTTTGTCTACTAAAAAAGGTTCTGAAACCAATCTTTTAGAATGCCCAAAAGTTAGATTTTAAGAGTGATTATAAAAGTATATATCCTATGTAAATACGTATTGGACTTACTGGATGTTAGTCTTCAATCTTACCCCAAAAGTTAATAATTAATGGCGGATTTTGATGAGAATAATTAATTGGTGGAGTTGGAATGATTTTAATTGGAATATATAACTACTAAAATCACACAAATTTTTATATGTGATTGGCCACACCGTGTGGTCGGGGTTACATGAGTTACTTAGTCAGGGGTTACTTGAGTTACTCGATCAGGGTTACTCAGTCAGAGGTTACTTAAGGGATTCGGTCAGGGGTTACTTAAGGGGTTCGGTCAGGGGTAACTCGATCAGAAGTTACTTGAGGGGTTCGGTTAGGGGTTTACTCAGTTAGGGGTTACTTGAGGGTTCGGTCAGGGGTTACTTGAGGGTTCGATCAGGGGTTACTCGGTTAGGAGTTACTTGAGGGATTATTTCAGTCAGGGGTTACTCGGTCAAGGGTTACTCAAGGGGTTACTTGTCAGGGGTTACTTCCCGATTAGGAGTAACTCGAGTAACCCCTGAACAAGTAACTTGAGTAACCCCGGCAACTCGAGTAACCCTTGAGCGAGTAACTCGAGTAACCTCGGCCACACGGCCAGCCATACAGAAAAATCCCCCCTTAAATTATAGTTAATAGAATATTACAAAAGATTATTGGTAATAAAATATTATCAAAAGATTGCAAAATATTTCATTGAATTATTACTAAGTTTGATATATATTGATTTTCATAAATATTGGGTCGGGGTAGATAATTTGGCCTTGGGCGTGGATTTTTTTGCCTTGGCAATATCAACATAATTATTTATACACCTACATATATGCTGACCACATATTTAGAATAAATCATACATATATATTTGGACTAATGTATTCTCCATACATACTTTGAAAATTCTAGAATTACTACTATGAGTATTATTATGAAATATCATGCATATAAAAATTTTATAATATTACATTGTTTGATAATTTCCTATAGAATATGGCATTATGCTATCTAAATTATTGTAAATAGATAATTTAACAATATATTATACAAGTAATAAGTAGTCAATTTATTTGTATAAAAAGTAGTCCTTCATCATTACAAATACAAAAAGAATTACATAAGAAAATTAGTGATAATAATAAGTTGGCAGGTAATTGAGCGGGTACGCAGGTTATAGATGGGTATGACATCAAATCCTCCGCTTACCCGTTACCCACGGTGGCTATGACTTATGTACTCGTACCAGCCTACTTACTCGCCAAAGTTGGACCCATATCCGCTCCATCTACGGCAGGTGCAGTACGGGATCAGCGTTTTTATACCCACTTGTCATCCCTAATTTTAAGGTTATAAATAATTTAATAGATAAAATAATAGTAGAATAATTATGTAAATACCAACGTTAAATCATGCTATGATATTTCTAGCAAGGAGCTATATATGTTAGAGCGTAACTTTTGATTTCTAATTCACTATTATTATTTAAATTTATTTTGATAAGTAAATTATACATATGAACTTATAGGTTACTATACTAGTTACATCATATTTGGCAATTTGCTAGCTTTGACACACCTGTGCACACATCTGCACATTAAATACTCCGTAACTTAAAAGATAAAATATAAGTTTATCATTACTCCGTATGAGATAGGGTCACAACTCTCACAAGTTTGCAATGACTAAAAAAAATAGTCTTATAATAATAAGACGATTTTATACTACGTACAAATGTCCTCTACTCCTCTTAATAGAATATAATAAGAGTAAATATTATAAAAAATGAACTGAAAAAAGAAGGCCAAATTCCTCCGCAAGTCCGCAGATGTAAGCCCAACAATCAAAGGCCAATTAAAACCCAACGTAGGAGTTCATCAATTTTCAGGTTTCGAAAACCAAATGACACTCTATAAAAGCTCCCATCTAAAACCCCTAATAAAAACCCTACTTCACATTGTAACATCTCCCGCCGCTTCGCTTCTCTGCTCTTCGTCTGCTCATCCCACTTTTTTTCATTTTCAAACACAATTAATGATTAGTTCTACTCCTATGTAATTTCAAATTAATTAGGGTTGAAGGTGCGATGATGATTGAATTAATCTCGTTAATCCGAGTGATTAAGCTGCAGATAATTTTTCAATTCCATTCTAATTACCTCTGAGCACCTTCTACTTTACCCTTCGTTATGTTTTGCAAATCAAATAAATTCGTGCAATATTTTTGTTTTAAAAAGCCTAATCTGTATGGTTTTTATTATGATTGAGGTTTTTAACTTCAAATGCAAAATCTAAACCATAATAAGCGTTGTGGTTTTTCTTGTAATTTAATTTTATTTTAGTGTTTTCACTACATATTTCCTTGAATGTATGAAAAATTTCAATTACTTTAGTAAGAAAATGAGTCAGTAAATAAATTCTTATTGGTGCTATCAAAATTATACAAAAATCTTACTATTTGAAATTGATGGCATTTGATTTTGTATAAATAATACAATCAATTTTCTATTTTGGTTATTATAAAAATGGCGAGGAGAATGTCGAAATTAATCATGTCTAGTATTGATATAACATCTGGAGCACAAAGATGAAAAATGTGGCATGAATTTTATTTGGACAGGGACTAATATGGACACTCAATACAGTCACTAACCAAAGGCCTAACTTTGAGTTTGACAATAGCATTTTATTTGATGGTCAAATATGAAACATTAACTTTGACTTTGCATAAAATGCTACTCGTTAGGAGTAGTGGCATACAAGTATACAACCTAACTTATGCTAATGTCCATTAGTATTGTATGAATTTATGCTTATAATTGTATTTAGAATTGTATTGGCATTCCATTAGCATTGTATTAACTTATCCCTATAACCAAATGAGTAGATTAGTACAATTTGCATTGGATGAATTTATCTCTCAGATACACAAACTGTTAATTGTACTCGAATAAAAGCTTGGTACTCTCCGTATGAGCTAAGTTTGGTCGACACAAATATGGTCCAACTTAACACAAGCCACATTAAGTTCACATTAATGGGTTGTGAACTTTGTATAGACAATATTTTTAAAATCTGAGATGAGTCCGATACGAGCATAGCATAATGAGCTAGTTTGCTGTTTGCATGATGGCTCATTTATATATGACTATCGAGTAATTGACTAATTGACAAAAAGTATAGAAATAATTATTGGGGATTTGGGGGTCTACTCTCTACATGGCGTTGTACAACACTATAGTACAAAATTATATTCTCGAAATGTTTGTTTACCCATATGTTCCTATTGATATGATATAATTGCTTTAAGCATTTCATCGTGTGATGTAATGATTTAACTTTTATGAATAATGTTCGGACAACTATACTCTCTAAATTATTTATTTACTTATTTGCCATCTTTAATGCTAACTAGATGAAGCCCGTGCGATACGCGGTTTGTTTGTATTTTTTCAAATAAAATATTTTACTAAATATATATTTATCTAATAACTTTGTGATATTTGTCTGCTTACTACTTGATTTTTTTTATTATAAAATGAATTATTAACTTTGTTTCTCATATTTAGATAAAATTCGTAATGTAAAAAGATAATATTTTATTTCACAAAGTTTCATATGTGGCTGGTCACACTGTGTGGTCGGGATTACTTGGTCAGGAGTTACTTGGTTGGTCAAGGGTTACTCAATCGATCAGGGGTTACTCGGACGGCCAAGGGTTACTCAGTCAGTGTTTGGGTGTGTCTCAGCGGGCCTTACATATGGCCAGCAACACAAAAAACGCGCTGATTTTATTTTTATAATTAGTATAAAAAAATTTATCTAAAATAAATTGCAATTCTTTTTTTTTTCATTGGCTAAAATATAACATTTTCCTATGTGACACTCTAAAATTAATTTTACGTGGTATAATCCTATTTAGGGGTGAGCAAAGACCCAGGGTATCCGGTACCGGACCCGGCGGGTCCAAACTCGGAACCGGTCTCACTGGTTCCGAGACCGGGTCCAAAAATTCGGACCCAGTTAGAACCAGTTCCGGAATCGGGTCCTGAAAATTTGGACCCGGACCCGGTGGGTACCCGGTTGTTTGATATTTTTATTTTTTTTTTAAAGTTCTTAATTTCCTCTTCCTCCACTCTGAATCTCTGATCTTCATGTAAACCCATCCACTTTCTTTCTCTCTCCTCCCTTTCTTTTTCCTCCAGAATTCCAGATCATTATCTTCTTCACGCAGACTCGCCGTTGTCTCGCTTTCGCACAGTCCCACCCTCGCACCGGCAACGGCGGTAATCTCTCGGATCTGTCCGGCTGTCCGCCGGTAAGTTCTCTCGGATCTTTCCTCTGTTCTCTGTTTCGGTCTTTCACGAAGCCACCAGTCCACCACCAATCCGCCGGTCTCGTCTCCCCCTCTCCTCTCTTTCGCACAGCAGCCTCCGACCCTCCGTGATGCACTTGGTTCCGGACTTCCGGCGCCGTCCTCTCCCCATCTCTCTGTTTCAGTCTCTTGGTACAAGATTACATGAGTTACAGCTCAAAAAATTAAAAAATAAAATAAAAATCTAAGGATGAAGATTGAAGAAACGGGTACCCGGTTTTGGAACCGGTTCCGAAATTCCTGGACTCGGTGCAACCGGTTCCGGGACCGGGTCCTGTGAAATGCACTGGGTACCCGGTTCTGCTCACCCTAATCCTATTGTAGCGTTTTAAAATTATTAATCTTACGTGGCGCTTTTTTATTATAACCCTACGTAGCGCTTTAAAAAAAACTAATCTTATGTGGCATAATCCGATTGTAGCGTTTTAAAAATATTAATCCTAAGTGGCGCTCTAAAAACTCGGGAAAAAACTCCCCTTTATATATATACTAGTTTTGTGCCCGGACGATATCCGGATGGTTGATAATAAGATACCATTTGTACTTGAATGTTAAATACGGTCAAATAATTCGTTATGATAATGTAGGATATTTAGACATACGATATCATATGACTTATATATTTACATAATAATACTTTTTGTAGTTTTGTTTGTAAATAAATATCTATGTTATTATTGACTTGAAATTATTTTTATTGAGCTTAAGTTATTTTTACTGAACTGAAAGTATTTTTACCAAACTAAAATTAATTATACTGATTAAAGTTAATACTAACTGAGTAACATCTAACACTGACTAAGTAACCCCTATCTATAACATTGATTGAGTAACTACTATAACATTGACCAAGTAACCCCTATAGCACTAACGAAGTAACTCTTGTAATAGTTAGTGACACGGTTTGGTCAGCTACGTATAAAAGTTTGTGATTAAATATATTATAAATGGATCTTATTTTAAAGAGTTTTTTAAAACGAATTTGATGATGGAAATAGAATTGAGTTATAAAATATTAATTAAAAGTTATGATTAATTTTGTATATATGAAATATTATAATTCTATCGATAATAAAACTCTACACAACAATTTTATCTTAAAAAATCTATCCAAAAACCGCTTACTTAGCATCATATGTGTCACAATAATACTATTTATCGCCTACGTAGCGCGACACTTGGCAAAAAATTGGGATGCCAAGTGTCGCTGTCTCGTGGCCTGGCTGCGAGGCACGAGACCAGCTTTATTTATTAGTAATATGATATGATATTAGATTGCCTTTTTTTTTTGGAACTCTTAAAAATAGGTGTAGACATTTAAACCCTAAAAATATTTATTATTTCCCTCACTAATGTTGCCACACTGAAAGGGCTCTCTGGACATAGCTAGCTAAGACGAATAAAATTGCAATAAATCTTGGCGGGCTTCTTTAATTTTATTGTTAGAATATCAATTTGAGGGTAACTTTAATAATTTTTATGGTAACTTTAATTCCTTTAAACTTAACTTTTAATTTACAACGAGTTTAATTGTATTTTAATGTGTAATTTCTATTAGGTACATGTCATTAAAGCTAATATGATTAATCTTATACAATAACTTAATGAAAGTTCACCTTAATCATAAATTTGTGATAAAATTGACATAAATTCCATTTAAGAACTTTTTTGGCTAGTTTTAGGCACAAGGCTAGAGGTGTTAAAAATTAACCCGATCGATCTAATCTAGCATGAAAAACAATCCAATTTAGATTTTGACTCATTTGGTTATAATAATTTAGGCCCTGTTCAATTCACTTTAAAATAATAATATTTAGTAAAAATAATTTCAGTTTAGTAAAAATAATTTCAGTTCTGCAAAAATAATTTCATTTCAGTAAAAATTTGTAACTTTAAAGAAGAAATATAAAATAGAATCAGTAAAAATAATTTCAGTTCAGTAAAAATAATTTAACTTCGGCAAAATTAATTTCAGTTCAGTAAAAATAATTTCAGTTCAGCAAAAATAAGGTCAAGTGAATAGTGCCTTAGCATGACATTTATAATAAAGTCAACTTAATCCAAGTACCCGAATTAACATCTCTAGGCACAACTCGCTCAATTACGAGTCTAGCTGATAGCCTGATACAAATACAGACCATTATACTTCGTACAAATGATACAATACGTGAGGTTGTTCTATCCAGACCGGGCAGGCGGCCCGTTCTCAGTCTCCCCACTTCTAAGCTGACTGGTTAAAGGTAGTTAGCGTTAAGCGATAACCGTGGGCCAGTGCATGAATCCCATTAAAAACACGTGGACATTAAACCAACACATCAGCAGTTCGCAATCTTCGCATAGTACTCGTCGTATTCCCTTTGATCATTTCTATCTCGTGAAAACGATCAAATATTCAACATTGGCGGCTCCTCTATAAACTTTAATCACACCACCTTATTTTTCCACTTTTATTTTTCTTTAATTATTTTTTTTAAATCAACAAAATAAAATTAAAAAAAATAACTCAAACCACCCTCACCCGCTGCCAGCCCCTCTTCCTCCCTCCCCCCGCTTTGGCAAATCGTTCTCCATTAAATCCCCAAATCAAAACTAAACCAATTTCCTAATTTCATAATAATAAACTTATTCTTGAATTTCAAAAGGAGAGAGAAAATGATGACAATAGAAGAAGATCAAGAAGAATACAACTGGAGAGAAGTGCAATTACCGTCGCAAATACCAAAACCTGAATTAGAGAGAGAAACTGGAGAGAGAAGGAGAGGCCGTGATGTTGTAATTGCAGTGGATCATGGGCCCAATAGTAAGCACGCCTTTGATTGGGCCTTGGCCCATTTTTGCCGCCTCGCTGATACTCTTCACCTTGTTCACGCTGTCTCCAGTTCGTATTCTCATTTTTTTTTTGAGGCGTTTATAATAAATTGTGAAAAATAAGAATTGTGGATTTAATTCTTATCTAATTTTGGGTTATTTGTGGTTTAGATGTGAAAAATGAGGATGTTTACCAAGCAACTCAGATCCTGATGGACAAATTAGCTGTCGAGGCTTTCCAAGTTGAAATGGCGAGTTTTAAGTTTTATGTTTTTTAATTTTGATTTATTTTGCTCTGGCTTCTTTGGTGACATTACAAAATACAAAGACACTATTAAATATGAACGTGACTATTAATTCCGAACAGCTTTTTTGCCTTTGTACGTGCAAAAGTTGCAGATATTCCCATATTCCGATATAAATTGATCTTAGGAAAATTTATCACCAAAAATTAGTGATTGATATACTTGTAGTACATTATAATTTTTGTTCTGTGTTGGTAAAGCCTTGGAGATTAATTCTTGTGATTCTGGAGATGGATCAGTAGTCCGAAATGGGCAAATGACATCTAATTTTAATGCAAATTTTGTAAGGAAGTAAGTTATTTCAAGCATGTGAAATCTGTTCTTAGAAAATTGATGCAGAACATTGCAACTCTAGCATCACTTTGAAGTCGAGTCTGCCATAATGTTGTACTCCTTCCATTCTAAAAAGCCTAGTTGGAAACGATATAGTAGGTTCCAATTTCCGTGTTTTTGGTTTCTTTGCACTTTGATCGAACATCTTAGTATAATTCAATGTAGTTGTATATACAAGTGAAGAACTTAGGGATAACTGAATAGTTTCCAATTCGTTGTTTGAACTAAGGGATGTCAACATGGATATATATATGAATATATGATTGTGAGTATCACGATTCATAGTAAGCTGAACGCTCATAGCATCTTAAGATCGTGTGAAATTCAAATGTATAGGTACATGAGGGAAGAATGAGCTAGAGAATTGAAATAAGTACCAACTCATTCATCATTGACATCATTATTGTTAAAACTGAGGGTTATTATTAAGATGATCGCCTTTCACAGTAATTTGAAAGGAGGACATCTACTTTGACTACTTGTGCTAGCACGAGAATCAAGCTCGTGTGTCATGTTGCTAAGAAGCCAACAGGGTGTCCATATGTTCTTTGCTGAATGGTTTGTTCTATCCAAATTGAAAGATCATTTTGAGAACTAATGCTAGGTTACAAATACATTATATTGTTTAGGTGAAGTCTGTCGCTAGGATAGTGGAAGGCGATGCAGGAAAGGTCATCTGTAAGGAAGCAGAGAGGTTAAGGCCTGCTGCTGTGATCATGGGTTCTAGAGGCAGAGGTCTGGTTCAAAGGTATTCTCTCGTCTCTGTTGCATTTTAGGGGTTCCTTAATTTTCACAACTCGTAGGATTTTTTTGATCAGTTTTCTTATTCGTGTTAACTAGTGTGTTGCAAGGGAGTGTTGGTGAATACTGCATACATCACTGTAAGACAGCACCAATCATAATTGTTCCTGGGAAAGGTACGTTCCGTTCTCAAGTTAGTCACAATTTTACCTAGTTAAGTAAAATCAGCTTGTGATGTGGTTATTTGGTTTGCACTATGCAGAAGCTGGTGAGCTATCAGCGGTTTAGTTGTGAAGGTCACAAGTCATTCGATTGTGTTGATCGGTTGTGTTTGTATTTACTATAATGTGTGTAGTGTGTAGTACATTAAGATTGTATGTAATGAAAACTTTATTTCTGTAGTTAAATTTGTTGTTCTAAGCATTTGTATAATTATATATCTCTTTTGTTGTAAGCTTATGAGTACTTAAAATGCTTTCTTCATTTCTGTGGGCCAGGCTTTTGATTTAATTGCATAAATAGAGCTACGTGGAAAATTTTCAAGGACAATGCGCAAGAAGATGGGGTGGTGTCTTGACTCCCGATCTCAGTATATCTCACGTAGTAGGTCAATAAACAAGCAGGATTTGCAAAAAAAAAGCACAAAACATATCGAATCACATAAAGGGATGAATGAAAATACATTTTGCATTAATAAGGAGAATGGCTTTAGATAAATGATTATACATGAAGAGAGAATACTCTATTAAATTGGTTCCACTTCATTGAAATGAGCAATGAAAATTTAGGTATTGTTTTGGTTGCTTGTTGTTTGGTTAGCTTGAAATTTGTTAATTGGGGTAAAATGCATGCAATGATTCAACTTCCTTGAAAAATTGTACTCGTACTAGTATTTCTCAAATAACATGAGTATTATTTACCAAATCTCTTTGATAGCTCATGTTTTTCACGAATTGCATTTAACCAAATTACAACTAAATAAGTTCAAGCAATTTATGAGAAATTACCATAGAATATTTAACTCATGATGTAATCAAACAAATGAGAATCAGGTTTTGTATCGGGTCAACTTTTGTTGAATCTAAATCTCTAATATCAATTCTTTTAGCATAAAATATAAAATTAAAATGATGGATATATTAAAAAATGGAGGTATGACACTTATATCAAACACGAGTACTAAACATGAAATAAGCCCAATTATTACGGAGTAGCATCAAGGAAATCAGGTCAGGACCCACAATATTTCTACTATAGTTCACCCTCCATTTCTATCTAACCAAATTTATTACCTCAAGTTCAGGTAATCAAGCGAGTCGATCACGAGCTGAGGGGTGCTCGACTCGACTCGAAATTTTTTTACATGTGCTCAACTCGTGCTCGCTAAAGTTTCGAGCTAATATAATATGCTTGACTCATGCTCGTTAAAGTTTCGAGTCGACTCGAGTAGCTCACGATCTGCTCGTTAAAGTTTTGGCCCTTCTATATATATATATATATATATATATATATATATATATATATATTTGTTCATTTTATATTGTTTTTTTTTTTATATATTTATTATTAAAGATTTACTCTTTCTTTTTTGATAATATAAATTCACACTTATTAAGTGTCTAATTGTTTAAACATGGTAATTTTGTTTGTAAATTCTATATTAATAAAATATATTATCAATTTGCTCACGAGTTTATCGAGTCGAGTTAGAGCTTGCTCAACTCGTGCTTGTTAACATCTCGAGTCGAGTTTTGACCGAGCGTTAATCGAGTCAAGTTCAAGTTGCTCGCGAGCTGCTCAACTCAATTAGCACCCCTAAGTCTAGGTTTTAAGGTTTAACTATGTCAACGTTTGAAACTTTACATTTCATCTCCATTTTCAAAAGACAAAGTTCCCGCCGTTTATCTTTTCTCTCTCCTCCTTCGGGCCTCATCACAAAAATCTCTATCACATTCGATCATCATCAGAATAGAAGATCTTCAAGCTGTAATTGATCACAAATTCGACAATCATAGGTGCGATTTCTTCTAACCCTAGCTTCAATTTTCGGTTTCGAATTTTCTTTTCGGTTGATCTTGCGCTAATATAGTGAGTTGCGTAAAATCGCTTCAACATTTGCGCTAATATATATACATTTGAGGAATTTACTTTGAATTCGGAGTAAGGAGGAATGAGATTAGGTGTTTGATAAAATTCATACAGAAAATTCATAATTTGATTGTTTTATTTGAAGAGATTGATCTTCAATGGAGCTCGAATTCTTCAATTTTCACATAATAATTATGTTAATATATCTTATTGTAACTCACTAATAACTGTCAATTTCGTAATTGTATGCGCTTATTTTCGTTGCGTTGTGAATTTTGTGCATTGGTGCAGTGGCTGCGAATTTGTGAATTAAAGATTAATTAATGAATTTTACTTTGAGAAGATAGCTATATTCGGTTCCGCTTTGGTGTTTTCCCTCTAAAATGATTCTAAAATTACTTTTTAGATCATTAGATTCCTCTGGCTTTAGTTGAGGTCTTGTACCTGTGAACGTGCTCGCATATTGTACTGAGAATTCCGTGTCATCATAGGTAGATTGAACTTTGAAACATTAGGTTTTGAGAAACCAACACTCTTACGTAGTTACGTGCCTTTTGTATTTGGTTGATCAATATAGTTTATGAATGTGGCTAAATTGCGCGTGCATGTTTTCTTAGGAACTCTAAGGTTGTTCACTGTGAGGTATGAGATAATCCAATGCCATGTTTCTAGGGTTATTGTAGACTTGTGGTGGTACTTTGGACAGATATGGTGGTATCACATAGGGCTGTAGTGGTGTGTCGTTTTAATGTCGAGGTTAGTTGTGTACATGCTTGTGGTGATACCTCAAATGGTTGTCATGCACTCATGCTACTTTGATTACTCGTGCTACTTTGATTTGTTGTAAGTGTTAGGAGGTGCAAATTTTAGTATGTCTCCAGGAGGAATCTATCAATGTTTCCATTTTTTCTGTGGCTCACTTGCTTTCCTTGCAATTAAGATACTCTGAAGGAATTAAAAAGTACTTGGGTCTTCTGTTGTATTTCAGTTGTTACTCTTTCTTTCTGCTGGTGTAATTACATAGGGAAGAAAATCTGTTTCTGGGTCCATGAATTAGACAGAACAAGGTCATCCTTTTGTATTTCCTATTCACAGGATAAATGGTGCTTGGAGACTGTAATAAATGGATATGTCATTCCGAATTTTTCGCTGAAACCTGGAGAATAGAGTTTGATTAGCTTGACAAGTTTAGAGGACCACTTATGTACTGTTACATATGCCTTGTAAGGGAGGGAAGTTGAGGCTGTTAAGCTATTATCTCTGGAAGAAGATATTTTCCTGAGTTGATCCGTTCCCTGGCTTTCTACATTTATAAATCGAGAAAAATCGGTCAAGTCGTTTGTTGCTTGAATGATACCTAGAGGTCTGGTTCTATAGCTCAATCTCTAATATCAAAAGAGGAATAAAAATTTTCCATGTATAGAATGTATGTAGGTCTTTTAAGGTCATCGGTCTAACTCCTAAAAAAATTCAGATAACTACCTATGAAGAAGAGCATGGCTCCATTTTACCCTTTTTCTGCCTCCCTGGATCCTGTTTGTTTCTTACTTACTCTGTTCTTTTTTACTTGACCTGTTTCATTTATCACGCTTGCCAAATTTTAACGATCAATAACTTTAATTCTCCATAAGTAAAAATTATGGAAACTATATATTATTGAGACAAATCTAACATTATCTCACATGAATATGTTTTTACTTACATATAATTCACAAAAGATGGTCAAAGGAGGGGTGGTGAATAGTGTAATAGTCAAAGCGGGTCAAGTAAAAAAGAACGGAGGAAGTATTAAGAAGCTAACATTATCTGTCTTGAGTTTCAACAATGATTTTTTTTGATAAGTTCTTAGATTTGGCATATTTTCTAGTAATCACTGATTTTGTAGTATTTGGACTTCAGAATTCCTAATTTCCTATAATAAAGAAAGCTTGTTTATAACATACTGAGACTGCACTTATATTATACTTAAGAATGGTAGATCAATCTTAGTCAAATTAGTTATTGTTATTGGTCAATTCAAGTTATGGAGTTTAGCTACATTATGTATTGGTCCAATTTTGCAAAGTCTACAAAATTTTGTTCTTTGGGTATGTTGTTTACTACTTAAATAAGAGTGGCTTTTAATTAGATGTTTCAAGGTGGCATATTCGGTTTTTTTTTTTTTTTTTTTTTTTTTTTTTTTTTTTTTTTTTTTTAAGTGAAAGGTATCAGTCTACTAGTTACATACAAGTACTTTTTGCAAATTCGAGATTGATAAGCTCATTACAGATTGTGATTGATAAAAGTAGTAGTTTATCAGCTACACAAATTACAGCTCAATAATCTCATTGCAGATTAAGTTTGGTAAAAAGTAATCACTGTAGCAGTTTTTCAGTCACACTTAGTAGCACAAATTCTGCAATTTCAACAGATTGGGGTTGGGGATATCAAATTAACAAATGTGAAATCAGAAATCTAATTTCCTGTGGAAAACTGTGCAAGAGCATCAGCAACAGCATGTAGAAGGATAAAACTCTAAAGCATACACAGTTGACATGCTCTCTATGATCCAGATCCAGTTTATAATTACTTTTAGAGTATAAGCCATTATTTGTGTTAAATCATCGATTATTCAGGACCTTGGCACGATCCAAGTATCATTGTGTTACATGAATTCAACATGTAATTTGCTCACACCAACTACTCTATTATTGTTTGCAGTAGTAATTTATGCGGTTAAAAACTATCTCTTATGCTTCTGGTCCCACATTCCCAGGGGTGTCTACAGTTTCAGATCAACAATATTCTCAGTTTATATGTGTTTTGAATGCTCTAAGTTGGTTGAAGTAAAGTATTTTTGCACAGGTTGGGGATCCTTACTGAAAAGTTAAGAGAAGTAGTGGGGAGGCCTACGGAAATTTGCATAAAAGTAAAAGTGGTAGGGAACAAGGGAGAGCAGCAGGTCACTGAAAACGAAAACAGTACTACATACAAGTAAGTAACAGTTTAGAGAAGCGACAGATTATTCACAGTATTAATCAGTTTTATTGTCTGTTTTTCAGCTAAATAATCTCTAGAAATGTCTGTTTGGTTTTCACAAGTTTATGGATTAATCAACTGTTCTTGCTCTTTCTCAACTTCTGTTCCAGGTCATATTATATTTTGTAAGACCTCTACGTAAAAAGCATAAAAATATTTGTTTTATTGACTGGGTTGGCGATCTTTACCTCCTTGAATTGTTGATGAATATAAGTTGTACAAAATTGAGTCCAATTATCTGACTCTAACTTCATATTTTTAGTAACATAGAAGAATTGCTCTAAGGTTTTGTTGGAAGTTGTTGATGTTTTTGTAATTGCCAAATGTAATGTTAAATTGATCCATGACATTTTTATAATTACTTTCCTTCAGTAGCTGTTAAATTTTTTTCATCAAGTGAAAGAAGCTATAATATATTGTGCAACTTTATCAGCTGTCTTTCATCCTACAGTTACTTAAAATCCTTTCTATCATAAATTCACAATTCTTCTTGTTTCAGTTTGCTTGGTCCCCTTAGTTGAAGATTTCACAAGTTTATAAAAGAACGCTAAACGGATTAGATGTGCATGATTGAAAACAACTTTCATATTCCCTTTCTGTTCTCTCTTTTCCCATCAATAAGTTTCTCTCATAACTTTGCTCTCTGGTCCCCTCTGCTTATTTTCAGGCTCTAATGAAGAACCTACTATTGCACTGTCTTCTAAATGTTGCAATTCAGCAGAAGTAAGATGCCAACAGGTGCTAAAATTATGCATTTCATCTCATTGCCTTTGACTTTATACATAGTTACATTCATATATATACCTATATACTAAACAGAATCAGAAAAGAATCCTAGTTAAGCAATCTGGTTCAATCTCCATGAAGGGTTAACTTCTAAGATGGGCCAACTGAGTTACATCTCCATTTTTAAACTGCTTGATTCAACGGTGCCTGCACAAGTATAATATAACGTTAGGAGAACTGCAAAGTGATACATGAGATCTTTGTTTTACCATGACTTGGGAAATTAATTGTTGCCCTTTTTAACTACGTTTTGTTGCTTTTGTTGATTCTACGCTAAGAAAAATCAACAAATGTTAAGGCCAAATACCAGATGCCTGTTTCTGTAGGTATAATTTTCTGCGAGATGATTAATGAGATATTTTCATGCATAAAAAACACCATAGGCAAAGTATGCCTTCATGAGCCTTTTTTTTACATGTCTTTTTCAAGACAAAAACGTATAAGAAAGTTTGGATTGTGTATATTTTTATAGTTAAAAGTAGGTAGACTACACCACATGAGAATGTATAATCAATATTAATTATTAGGGAATTGGATAAGATGTTTTAGTGTTAACTACCTGTGAATGTCTGTAACGGGAATGATGTTGATCTTCCCTGCTGAAATTCCATGTTGTAGATATTTTGTAACTCAGCATCCCATTGTAAAGAGTTTGGAATTTGCTGTTAATATCAGATATAATAGAAGTTAGTGAAAGAAAAGTACCATAGAGAAAAAATTGGTCACTCCAGACTTAAGAGGACGTTACATTAAAGCAGGATGTATCTAGAAAAGTCTCCGGTACTGGCACAGGAGCACTAATGCTTCTCCTCAACCCCAAATCAATTGGGTTCCCCACGACTGTGGATCCGCAAATTGGATCCATTTGTTCAACAGGATTGTATTGTAGGTAGCTGGGATTTGTTAAATCCGGTGATACCCCCATCGTTGGTAGACTGGCAGAGCATGCTGCAAAAACCTGTTGATAAGAGTTGCAGAAATCAATTATATTCAGCTTTTTCTCGTCTTGTTTTGGTTTATCCGTATGACTAGTTATTCTGTATGTGTTTACCTCTTTGGCAATTAATTCATCAATGTTAATATCAAGCCTGGGATTTACTGCTGCCAATTTCATGGAGAGGAACTGATCCAAAGAAACAAGAGGCAAAAATTCAGATAAATTTGGAAGTTATAGACTTATAGGAGCTTTTTTTTTACAAAAATACTTAGAAACTCTGATTACCTCTACTTGTCTTTGAAGAGATTGGACATAGTTGATTATTTCGTCGAGCATTCCAGCTTTTCCTGTGATCTTGTTGCACCCTGGAACTAAATCCTGAAGATATTTCATTCTCTCACTTATTTTTTCTCTCCTTACCTACATCATAACCATAAATGCAGAATATGAGTTATTGGTGAAGTTTATATCAGTGAAGAAATTTTGTAATGTTGGCCTTTGTGTTTTGCTTACTCTTTCAGCTAAGCTGTGGCTATCGGTGGCTTGGCCACGCCTTGCTCTGACATGAATGTAATCAGGCTTTTGTACCTCGGACGCCTTTGAATCCTTAGATGTACACCCTGAAGTTTCTTTGCTTTTCTTGTCATTGCTGTGTCCATTGCTTTCCTTTTGGTCACCCTGGCTGCTGCTGCTGCTATGTTTATTGCTATGTTGTTCTGTGATTTTTGATTCTTCCTCTTCAGCACACCCCTTGCTCTTTTTTGATTGGTTGTCTTCTTCTGCATCCACTACCTGCCACATACCATTTAGAGTAGGTTTTTCAGAGATCAGTCAGTGGCCTACAATCTGTTAAATTTCTATTCTAATCTATTAAATTTTTGTATTCAGGTTTTGCTGATAATATTTCTACTAGCAATATTTTTGGCAATTAATGTAGAATCGAATTCAAAAATCGCAGAGGGATCAATCAATACCTTTGGTGTACTTGGGTTTCTTTCTGCTTTTCTCTTCTTGAAGCTCTCTCTTCCAACTGCTCCACTTAGCTTCTGATCTGACAAGAGGGTCTCTCTTCCTTTGGCATCACGGGCCGCCTTTAGGCTGATTGCTGCTGCCTTTGCTACCGATGGCGGGCAACTGGCTGTTCTTGAAATGCCATAATTCGTCTCATAGCCAGGATTGTTATGGACTTCTCCAGCAGTCTCAATCCCCATGCTCCCAACTGTTACCCCACTTTTTTGCATCCCGAAATCCATCCACCCATTCTCAGCACCCGGATCAGCCTTAATGGGTCGGTTCAGAAGCTCATTCAGAGTTGGGCCAGTTGTAACTGAGCTTGGACAGTAATTCATGTCTGCGCACTGAAAGTCTTGTGCTTCAGGAGGAAAAAAAGAGAGCATACTGAGGTCATTGAAACAACTTAGTTGTTGTGTTGGTTGGACTTGGAAGAGCTGCTCTTGTTGCCACTTAAGAACCATCCTCTGTCTTTCCAAAACACTCATCTCCATGCCTTTTCCTCCGATGATGTTTGCTGGCATGTTCAGGCAGTGCAGCATCTCCGGTAAAGCTCTATTCATTGCCTTAATAAATCCAAAAATAGTAAGGGAAATATGATTGCTTTTGTGCTGTTACGAAGTCTTAATATGTACTACTATAACAGTTTGTTGTTCTTTTGCTTTTATGAAGGTGAAAGGGAAGTTGGTGTGTGCTGCAAGGATTAGGCAGGCTTTTGTAATGCTTTGGTACCTAACACAAGTTCTTCATGAGCAAGGTACTACTACTCTACGACTCTTTCTATCTCCCTTTTTGTTATTTGATGCAGTTTAAGCTGTGGCTGGAAAAATGTTGTGAGAGAAGAATTGGGGAAGAAGTGAGGGTATTTATAGAAAGTGTAAAAAAGGAGTTTGGGTTGAGATATCTGACTATTAGGAGGCTGGTATCTGACGTAACTAACCGGAATAATTAAGAGAGAGAAAAATAAAATTTCATCTTCATTTTGTATTTTCTTTTTCCATCATTTATATTTCAGTATATTTATTTTATATTTTCAGATACACATAGAGTTAGGGGTACATTGAAGTCTATATTACTATTAATTTGCTCATTTGGGGTTACATTAGATATACCTGGGAACACGTAAAAATTTGTTAATATATTTATGGTGTTTTTGGGGGTCCTGAGGGGGCAAGTAGAGAAATGAAATGGATGGATGAGAGAGATAGAAAGGGGCAACTGGGGCAGAGCGCCATCGAATGTAACCATAACTAGAGGCTGTGGGCCGTGGGACCTTCCTGACATATGACTGCCACGCGGGCTTATCCTGCCAACGGAAAAACGGGGTTTGAGATGGTTTTTATTTGGACGGGGTTCAGAAATCAGAACTTCAGATATTCATATGATTAGTTCTTAGATTATTATGATTTGTGACTTAATTGCATGTGTTATTTAATGAGTTCATCTCAGATTTGGTCATGTTTGTTTAAGGACTTGGTTTTTTTGGGTAGATTAGTGACCCCACCGTGATGGCTGCAGGGTAGTCTGGGCCTTGAATACGTTTATGCCCACATGATTAGGTACACGTGGCATGTTTTAGGAGCCCCCATCTATGATATGTCAGCTTTATGATGTGTAAGATGATGAGGTGAAACAAGGCTGTGAGAGGTCTGGTATTTTTTTAGCTACCTTTGCCTGTAGATTCTGAAGGTATTTGGGAATGGGGATCACAATGAGGCATCTTTCAAATTGCATTTCATTTAATTGAGATTAATGTTTACTTTGCTCATCTAAGCAATCTTTGTCTAACTTTATTAACTTCAATGTAACTGGGAGCATAATGTCCATCTAGTTCTCGAGTTTAGAAATCTAATTGCCCCCATAATAGGAATTAGGAGACCATAATCATTATCTAATCATAATGCCATATCGTTAATCATTAATTAGGATAAAGAATGTTTGTTTTTCAAATAGCTTTCATCCTGTCAGTCAATTGGTTTTTGTTTGAAAATTGAGACTTTTATTTGGTTGGTTAGTGGATTGGATCATATGGTTTCTTATGTCTAATTAAATTTGATTTTTGATGTTTACCAAATTACCACTTGCGTCAATGCGTCCTCACTAATGATAGGAGGTGAAAAGGGGATATGAACTTGGACCAATTTAGATACTAATATTAGATCTCTTATCAGAACAACTTAAGGCAAAATTATTTATCTGATTCTGACTCTTCTTCTAGGATTGAGGATTGATTAGTACTTAACACTTTGGAATTAATGAAGAGGAATTTTCGCTTTTCCGTTTTTTTTGAAGGATAAGATATCTGTTTCATGTACCTATATAGCAGATTTTGTCAATCTAATTATGTCTCCAATTGTGGGCTTACTAGATAGTGATTGATGGATTAACATAAGTTTTCCCATTTTATTTTGCTGAGGTGACAAGTTCACTTCAAGCTGAAACCTCAACGGAAAAATAAAATCTACTCTAATTAGCATAAAATTAAGGTTGTGTCTTCCTTTATTATAGATTGATTGATGGCAATTACCACCCAAACCTCTATTGATTGGTGGCCTCGAGTGCTTTCTCCTCCTTCAGGGCTTACTTCATTAGCCGTAAACAAGTTGCCCATTTATTGACTTGATCTCTACTTTGTCTTTGACCTGCACAAACTTGGTTTAGATTGGGGATTTGGGGTGCAGTAAGCATACTAGAGTGATTTTCCTTATTGGGATTATGAGTTGTAATCGTAACAGAATAATTTTATGATCAATTGCAACAAGCCATGATTTCAACATTTATTAGTACTCTCCTTTTTTCACTTGTCAGGGCTGTTTTCTCTGTGCTTGTTTTATTTTTAATTAGTATTTAGGTAAGGTGTATTTCTTTAAAATTCTTAAACCTTTTTCTTATGCTTTTATTTTTATTGAGTATACAATATAAGGTGTGATTTAATTAGGCTCGCTTTGTTCAAATGATGCCTTAGATTAAGCTTAAATACGGTATTTGTGATGTTGTAGAGGCATGATGAAGATAAAATGGATATATGGTGGGGAGCAAGTCCAGTGAGGATGAAGGGTACTTCCATTATCAAGCTCCTGGGCCCTGCAAATTCTAGTGTCAATCTCCCTCCTACCTTTATTGTTAGTAAGTCTCTCTCTTCCTTTCCCTCCCCTCTTTCTCCAAGTTGTAAATAGCCACATAATGATCCTTAAGAAAGAAAATAAAAAAGCTATTAGGGGACCTCTTTCTCATATTTTCCTTTCTATCATTGTCATCTCTGTGGGCTTAATCAACTCAAAAAGATTACCTTTTTTCTCTCTTGCCCCTTCATGGCTTGTAGCCTTTTCGATTACGAGCTTAATACTTTTCCCCTTCACCCTGAATTGTCACCCATAATCAGGCCGTCCATATTTGAATGAGTAGTGGCTTGTGATCTATGGCAGTCCATAATTTTCCAGTTTTAGCTAGGATCATTATTCATGGCATCATGATTTGGACTAGTTATTTGTTCCATTTTTTATGTGCCAATTGACTGTCTTTTAAGCAAGTTTGAGTTTGCTAGAACTTTTGACATAATGATGCAGGTGTAGTGATGAATGGTTAGACTAATTGGTAAAGATGTGAATCTCTTACAGGATAACATTTAAAATATAATTAATTTTTAGCTATCTAATTTTTGGCATAATATTGTACAAAAAGTATACATAATTTTAGTCACTAATGGTTATAACGAACTAGATTAATTATATACCATAGAGAATCGAGAATCATAATACTGCTATATTTAGCTTAACTTGAATACTAGTATTTCATTTTTATCCCCAACAATCGTAATCACTATGACATAGCAACATAGCGTCTTTCCAATATATATATTAAGTGGAAAATGCTATAACTAAGCCAACATAATCATGACAAAGAAAATATTTCAATTACACTGATAACTGTAATAGTTTGCTTTATTAATGCTGATTTTGAATAAAAGATATAATTGTGATGCTGTTCCAAAATAGATAAAGAATTGAGACTAGAGGAATAATGCTTAAATGACGTTATACGCAGTATATTTCATATGAATACATACTAGAGTGCTGAAAAAGTAGAGGATTTTGTGGGAGTATATGGGAAGCGGTCGAGTCGTCAATTTTGGGCAGTATGGTCCTGTTCAAAGCTATGGTGGAAGTAAATAGATCTTCTGCACCAGTAGTTGATATATTAGCAGAGAATTTATTAATACGGAATATACTTTAGTGTATTTTTATATGATATATGACGTATATAAACTATATATACAATATAATATACTTGTACGTATACTGTATTACTCACGCCATATGATTGATGAATTTGGAAGTTTAGAATTTATACGGAGTAATTAGAACGATTGGCAGTATGCCCTTGACAATCTTTGCACTCTTACATGTCACCCTGTGATTGGAGCTCAATTTTCGATGTAATCTCATTGGCTTCAGAGCTAATAATCTTTGGGAAGATACTAATAGTAGTAGTAGTTCAGGGCGAGCCATTGATGCTTAACTACTTGTAGTAGTTTTAAATCATTAAATTTAATTTATATTTTATTAATTTCTTTTATTAAATTTTAGTATCCTATAATCTTATCTCTCTTGTATGATCTAAATGGAAGCTTAGATAGAGAGAGAATGGGGTAGAGATAGGAGATTGAGGGAGGCAGTGAAAGACATGCACCAAATCAAATACAATGGATGGAAATTCCAGTTTAGCCCCTCTCCTTCCTTCTCTCACCTGTGCTTTAATGAGACATCCTTGTTTATGTCATTTTTTTTTTTTTGCGGCTGACAGTTATTGCTAATCATATGCAAATGAAGAAATTAGGACACTATGTGTTCCCTCCTTTTTGGTTTAAGCTAATTAATATTAAGTACAGGCCTCTCATCAAGGCTTTATTGTCTTAACTTTGTTGAATATATTGAACTGATATTAACTGAACTTAGTTGTAGTATAGCAAAGGTTATTGAATGTATTGAACTTATATTAACTGAACTTATATGCGAGTTTGTCAAAATTTATTATAACTTGAATTACTTTGCTTGAAATAAGATAAATTAAGTTAAATGAAGCTGAAACAAACAAGTCTTAATTGAGGATATTGGCTTCATATTAGATCGTTGATATTTTCCTTGTAGGATGTATGTATGAATGACATATTCTCATACATATACATATCGTGACGTTCAGTATCTAAATGTTTGGTTTTTGTACTTTTAGCTATTTTAAACTTTGTAATCATAGACATTAGAGCTATTTATCTTTACATTTACTAAAATTAGGTCACTTAAGTCACCTTCACATTTCGTAAATAAGGAATCCAGTTATAACTGTTTTGATATCGTGAAGTGGCTTTTTGTGTAGGTTTAATTACACGGAATAACCTGTGATCTTATGTTGATTTTACAAATTGATAATCATTGTATGATTCCTTATAGACTTACTCCATGTACTAAAACCAACACAAAATGTTATGTTAATTTTATAAATTAATAGTCATTGTATGATGCCTTATAGAGTTAGTGTAATAAAACTTACACAAATTGTTGTGGCCTTGTGTGGTGGGGAGAGTAGGAGTTCCTAGATCTAATTCAATTCAATTCTACTCTAGTAATAATTTCAATATGCAAGATTTGACGTAGGACCACAATGGAAGTCATCCTTTGCCCATTTCACTGGTTGGTCGTGTCAGAGATGGGTGAGTCAGTGAGTGAGTTGAGTGAGTATGAGCAAAACATTAATTAGGAATGGTCAAGCAACTTTGTTAACTTGTTTACATTTACTTCTGTGAATTCCTTGCTTTCCCTTATGGCCTCCCATTTTTTGTTTTTTTTTTTCTCGTGGTCCTAGAAGATACTATAAATTTATACTGTATAATTTTCTAAGAATATACCTTGAATTCTAATGTTGATAATTTTTAGATATTTTTGCAAATAAGCTAACATTTGTAGAAGATTGTTTTGACTTTTCTTTCTTCTTGGGTATATATGCTTGGAAAATGCCTAGGTTCTTTGTTTACCTTGAAGATTGTTCCTAGATCTAACTTTCTCTGTTTGGCTACTCATTCATTTGGTTGCTTCAAGTTGTTATCTTTGTCTGTTGAAAAACATTAGAGTATTAATTATTTAACGCATAAGGATGTACATACATACTCCG